CCCCGGGTTCGCTGGCCCTGGGTGTGGAATGTTCTGGAGAGGTCTTAAGGACGTGCAGACCCACGCGAAACCCCACGGGCCGATTCTCCTCCTGCACAGACCGCGGCCGCCCGGCGTGCGCCTCTGCCGCAGGCCTGCTCCCTTCCCGGTCCTCTGGAAGGCCTGTCGCCCTGCCCCGGAGCCCAGGGGACAGGGGAGGCTGTGAGGGGAGGCCTGAGGTGGGGGCCTGGCCGAGGGGCACCTGCCTTCCTAAGGAGAAGCCAGAGGCCAGGCCCCAGGCGAGAGTCTCTCTGCAGGGCCCCTGGCACCCCCCCATGAAGGCAGCTGGGCCACCCGCTGAAGCCGGGGCACACCTAGCCCCTCTCGGACCTTGGCCAGCGCTGCCGCAGCCTGCTCCGAGGGAGGATGTGACCATGCAGCCAAGGACACGGGCCTGAGGGTGGCCAAGCCAGGACTCAGAGCGAGTGACCAACCATGAGACCTCACCCTGCTCCTTGCCAACCTCCTGAACCAGGGGAGGAGCCGCAGCGGCCTGCGGGGGTGGCCGGCCCTGGGGAGGTCTGGCTGGGCGCCGCGGGGTGGCGAGGAGCTCCAGGCAGGGGCCGTGCGGGAGCTCAGGGGCTCTGGGAGGTGCGGTTGGCACCGCATGGGGATGTGGTGAGGCCAGAGCTGTGGGATCCCGAGGCGGCCAGCCACGCGGGGCCCACACCCTCCTGCCCTGTCCAGAGGCCTCCAGCGTCCTGGGCCTTTGGAAGGACGCTCTTACTCTGCTTCTCCAGAAACTGGCGGGTGTGGAGGTGGCCCCTCAGGGCCCACGGAGGTCCCCTGACCTCCCTCCATACGCAGCCCCTGTGGGGGCCCAGGGCCCCTCATCTCTGGGCAGCCTGCAATGAGAAGAGCCCGGTCAGCTCTGGAGGCCACCTGGGCTGGGGGACTGGCACCCCTGGACCTCAGCTCTGTGACCAGGTGATTTGGCCCAAATCTTCACCTGTAAACTGGGGACAATTGTGCCACCTCTGCACAGGCTGTTCTGGGGATTAAAGGAGGGGAGGAGTGGGAAATGCTTCTGCAGAGTCCCTGCCGCAGCCAGTGGTGACGAAGGTGGATAACGTTGCTGTCAGGGCAGGCGGGGGACCAGGGACAAGCCGGGCTCTGGAGCCAGACCTCCTGAGTTGTTGACCTTGGCTGAGTCAGAGGCCCTCTCTGAGCCTCAGTTTCCTCCTCTGTAAAGCGAGGAGATCCATGGATACTTCAAAGGGTTGTGCGCATTAAGAGGAATGTTGTAGATAAAGTTTGCACGTGACAGACGCTCCCTGGGCCTCAGAGCCCACAGGGCCCTTTTGAAGTCCAGATGGGACGCCAGGATGACAGGGATGACTCAGGATTACAGCCCAGCCCTTCATGTTCTGGAAACTGCCATTAGCCTCCAGCCCCGAAGGCTGAGTGCTGGGCTTCCCAGCAGGTTTATGGGGAGACACAGCCTCTTGTCATTTTGTGGGGAGCTGAGGCTGTAACTGTGCCTGGCTGGGTGGGATTCCTTTCCAGCCAGCCGGTCAGTCAGTCAGTCAGTCAACAAACACTCATTCAGCTGAGACTGCGTGCCCTGGGCTGGGCACTGGAGACAGAAGTGAATCAGAGCCAGGGTCTTCCCAGCCCGGCTTGTCCCTGGTCCCCCGCCTGCCCTGACAGCAACGTTATCCACCTTCGTCACCACTGGCTGGGCAGGGACTCTGCAGAAGCATTTCCCACTCCTCCCCTCCCTTATCCCCAGAACAGCCTGTGCAGGAGGTGGCACAATTGTCCCCAGTTGAATTGTCCCCTGTGAATCAGGCCCTGAGCTCACAGTCTGGGGGAAACAGGGAGAATGTGCCACAGGCAGGGGCTGCAAGAGCCATGGTGGGACCAGGGATAGGGCTTCCTGGTGACGAGGAGGCCCGGGGGTGTCTACACCCTAATAACTAAAGCCAAGGATGAGGGGTCAGGGAATCACGGGAGAACACGGGGAGGAGAAGACAGGAGAAGGAAGACGGACCCTGGGGACCAGGTGTTAGGGGGCTGCGCAGACTCCTCCCCGGGGACCTGGGGGGAGCTGCTGGGGACAGGCGCGGGAGCAGGATGGCTCTGGATGGGCCACGTCTCTGCCCCTGCACTCTGCTGTCATCCTGTCCCCTGGAACCGGCCTGGACAACGTGGTGGGAGCCGCGCTGCAGCGTTGCCAAGCCTGACCTGGAGGAGGCAGGAGGAAATGGGGCTCCAGACGTCCCACTGTGCAGCGAGGAGGGCCAGGGATGGCCACATGGAGAAAGGGAGGGACGTGTCCTGGTGGACGCACCGACCCCCCAGCGAAGGAGCCACCTTGATGTGCACCCAGAGGGGGCTCCTGGCGACTCCAGCCCCTGCCACCACTCGATTGCCACCGTAAAAGGACACCAGGAGGACTGCCCAGGAGAGCAGCTCGCCCAGGGGACCCCGTGAGCACAGGGCTTCCTGGGCCGCGAGGTCGTGGGGTTGGTTACAGGCCGCGGAGCACTGGAGCAGTGGGCACTTCAGTACCGCGCAGCCCAGGGGACATCACTGCCCCTCTAACACCTGAGGAATGTGGCCCAGGGCGGGAGGTGACTCAGGACCAAGCCGGCTGGCGGGCAGGTGGGCGGGGCGGCCGCAGGGCTGACCCTTCTCTTTCCGGAGCTCCGGCCTGGCTGCCTGAGGCTGTTGTCCAGAACTTGCCACCAAACCACGTGGATTTGGCCCAATTCCCAGTGTGACCGAGGTTACGGGTGTCCTCCAGGTGGCCACCTGCTGAACCCTGGCTTGGTGTTTGTTTGTTGTTGTGTTTCAAGCAGCCATTTTATACACCCAGCCCAACTGGTGTCCCTGTGACAGCCCTGTGACACTACCCAGCTCGAGAGACAGGCATTTCTGGCACCAGAAACTTCCTCTGTGCCATCTGCCAGGCAGCGCCCCTCCCCCGGCCCCGAGGCACCCACCGTTCTGAAGGCTGTTGCACCCGACTGTTTGCTTTGTGTAGTGTTGTTTTCTGTGACCTGGATCAAACCCAGGCCTCCAAACACCAGGCAAGAGCCGCACAGCTGGGCCACACCCGGCCCGTTTTATTTTACTTGGAGACAGGGTCTTGCCAGGTTGCCCAGTCTGGCCTTGAACTGGCAATCCTCCGGCCTCAGCCTCCCGAGCGGCTGGGACTCCAGGCGGGCACCGCCATGCCCCGCTTTGCATGGCCTGCTCTTGGACGTCACGCAGACGGATCCTGCGACACGTGGTCTTCTGCGGCTCTTCTGCTCATCGTGCGTGTTTCTGTATGCAGTGGGGATTCTTCTTTGCACTGCCGTACCGTACAGTGTCACAGGGTACAGACACGCCCCAGCTTGTTCATCCTGTTGTTGATGGACAACTGTTATGTCCCCAGATTTGGGCTCCTTTGAATGAAGCCGCTGACTCGTGGCTCCCGCTGGCTCCTCTCTGCTGTGTGCGCAGGAGTGAAACGCCGGCCGCTTCCTGGGTGGCTCACAGAGCACCCTCCCACCAGCTGTGCAGAACCAGCCCAGCCGTGTCCTCGCCAGCACTTGATAGGGTCAGTCCTTCTAGCCTGGGTGTCCCAGCTGCAGGCGTGTGGCCTTCTAATGGCGATGCCTGGCGCCTCCTGCCGGCCAGCTGCTTCCCGCGTTGGCCTGGGGCTGTCCCACTCACCCAGAGCCCTGGGGAGGAGGAGGGGGGACGCCAGCCGGGAGGACACTGCCACAGCCCAGGTGAGATGGGTCCTGAACCGGACTGAGGCGCGGTGGAGGGGCAGTGAGGGCCGCCTGGGTAGGTGGCGGGGATGAGGAGGGAGAGGAAGGGCTCAGGTCCTCTCAGGTGGGGCTGCCAGCTGCAGATCTCCATCTCTGAGTGGTGGGGGATGCTCCTCGTCCCCTAAGAGGTCCTGAGGCAGGTTAGCCCTAAGCCTGGGTGACTTGAAGGCCTGGGGACCCTGACTACTCTCTGATTCCCAGCATATGGATGAGACAAGATGGCGGCAGCATGAGGACTTCACTCAATGCCGTCTAGAGGCCGAGGGGGCTTTCTTTCCTGTGCCCCCTCTAAGAAGCAAGGAACAGGGCTGGGGATGTGGCTCAGTGGTCAAGTGTCCCTGAGTTCAATCCCTGGTACCCGCCCCCCCCCCAAAAAAAAGAAGCAAACACATTCCCGAGGACCCTCTCCACCCCGCTCCTCCGTGCACCTCACTGGCTGCAGCTGCTTTCCCGGCCATCTCTGAGCTAATCCCGGGCAGGGGTGGCACGTTCCCCCGGGTCGCTCTCCTCCAGGGCACACTAGGGATAGGCTCAGGATTTGTTCCTGCGGCTCCTTCTGCTTAGAATCCCTCCTTGACTTTCCCATTTGGAAAAGTCGTATGTGCAAGCTGCTTCCAAGAGCAACTGCAGGCCGAGCAGGGCTCTCGAGTTCCCACAGGCCTCTGGGATCCAACCCAACGTGGTGTTTCTATGGTTCAGAAGTGGGGCCTCCTCCCAGCCCAGTGTGACCATGGCCATGGCCAGCCGATGCCCACCTTGCTCAGAGCTTTCATGGGCTCGAGGCCAGTCCTCCATGCAGGAACGGGGTTGGAAGGAAACGCCCTCTAATGGAAAAGCAAAGTGAGGCTCGGAGAGGGTGACCCGCCAGGGTCATGGCCAGGGCAGCCTCAGCTCCCACCCTCTGCAAGGCCTGGGTGCAGGGCCTTCCCCCAGGGCGTGCCAGACTTGGGTGCTTGCTGATGGTTCCCTAGGGACCGTGTTGGAGAGCAGACGGCTCCAGCAGGTCAGGGCGGGGCCTGCAGGACACTCAGATGTCACATCCTCGCCTCCTGGAGGAACTGGCTTCTCAACTCCACCCTCCAAGCCACAGGCCACCACTCACGAGGGTGGGGCGCTATGGGGCGCCGGTGAAGAAGCCACTTGAAGAAACCCCACTCTCCATTCCCCGCTGCCTGGCCACCCAGGGAACCGGAGTTGCTGGAACGTTTTATTAAGTTAAGGAGGTTCACAGAGCAGGAGAGAAGCGCCCTCATGGGTGGCGCCAGCGTTTCCAGGCCCAGCACCCCTTGGAGGAGGAGGTGGGCCGTGGGGCAGCTTCTGGCTTCCTCGGTCCTCTGTCCAGAGTCCCAGGGTGTGGGTCCACCCAGGGCAGGAAGTAGTTAGTGGGAGGTAGGCAGGAGGAGGGTGCTGGCTCGTGGCCTCTCCTCACCAGGGCCACCTGCCTGGCTGCTGCCTGGGCTTCCTCTGTGACCCCGGGCAGGGCCACAGCTGACACCCCAGCAGGGGACTAGAGACAGGGGACTCAGTGCTGGGGCACACACCACCAGGAATTGCTTTTTAAAAAGTATAAAGTGTTCTGCAAGAAAAAATCTATATAAAAATCTCTTCACATATAAAATCCTGAAGAAGGTGCCAGGTAAGACCCAGTGCAGGGCGCGCTCAGATCCGCAGAGTGTGCACGTGTGGGGGGTGTGTGTGTGTGTGTGTGTGTGTTGGTACACGTGCATGCGCGGCCCACAGGGTGGCGAGAAAGCTTGGCTTCTGACTCCATCCATCAGGGAAAGAGGGCTATTGGTCCCTTGGGCTGGAGGGTCTGCAGCTGGACTGGACCATGAGGACCTGGAAGGCAAGGGCGGGGTGCTGAGGGCCAGGAAGCCCCAGCCGCAGGCCCACCTGGGGTCGGTCCTTCCACCTCCTCCCTTCCTGAAGGCTGCGCCAGACCCTGGCTTCCCGAACAGCCCGTGGCCTTTCCCGTGTGCCTTGGGAAGCCTGCACGGCCTGGGAGGAAGAGGACACTCAGGCAGGCGGGCCCTGGGAAAGCAGTGAGGAGAACCCCTGATGTGCGGGGACCCCCGTGTGCACAATGCACCCCTGAGGTCTGGCCTGTGGCTCTGGGAAGGGGCAGAGCGCCTGAAAGTGGCACTCCTGCATCCCCAATAGCCCCGTGGTGGCCCAATCAGGCCACAGAGTGGCCCTGGAGAAACTTAGGCAAACAAGTTCAGTGCAGCCCGTGGCCTGATTCTGAGCTCCCAGGGACAACCCTGTGTGGCCAGGGGGTGACCACTCACAGAGGGGGAAGGTGGCCCGGCAGCAGGAGGGGCGGGTGCAGCTCCCTCCTCCAGACCCGACACCCACGGCTGCCCGCCACAGGGCCCACCGCTCACTCTACTGCGCCAGGCTATTGCGCGTGGACTCCTTCTCCTGCAGGGCGGCCATGGCCAGGCGCAGGTGCTCCTTCAGCTGCTCGATCTCCCGCTCTGACCGCGTCTTGATGTGGTTCAGCTCCACGTACACGTCCTGGTACTTTCCCGAGGTGAAGCGCTTGTCCTGGGGGAGGGGGTGGCTATGAGGGCCTGAAGTCCCCCTACTGGGCCTGACCTGGGCACATTCCCACCTTGCTGCTGACCACACAGCGCCAGGTGGCCAGGCCCTCTGCAGCCTGGTACTTTGGCCCCTTTAGGGCCCCTCCTGGGCCACCCCCTCCCAGCCCTACCTGAGACACAGGTTTACTGTCATCTCATCCCATTGGGGTGAGCACTGAGGCTTGGAGAGGTGACGTTCTGCCCAAGACCACAGGCAGTGAGTGGCAGGGACCAGAACCAGGTCAGCCTGGCCAGTGCCGGGGCCGGCTCTTCAAGTGTGGTGAGCCCCATGCTGCTCACACATGCCCAGAGCCACCAACATGTCCACTTCTGGTCCCAAACTGGCAGAGTGTGTTGGGGCAGGACATAGTAGCCAAGGGTGGGCCAGCCAGGCCACAGGCGCAGACCTGGCCTGCACCCCAGCACCCCGCCACGTGGCCTGGGCCTCACTAGAGTGCGCACTCCTCAGGGGCAGGGATCTTGGTCTGCTTGTTTGCTGTCAGGACCCAGCATGGTGCCTGGCACACAGCAGGCGCTCAATAATAGTAAGCAGACAAAACCCTGCTGAATAAATGAAAGCAAGTGTGGGCCTCGTCCAGTCACTTCCCCTTTCCTGGCCTTTGTCTCTCCGTCTGTAACTGGGATAATGACACCTTCGTGGGACACACAGAAGAGCCTCAGGAGAGGAGGAGCTAGAGGGTGCCTGGCACCCAGTGTCTCCCAAGCACCCCTGTGCCCCCGCCCCAGAGGCCGGTGCCCACCTTCTGCATCCCCTGGAGCTCGTCGCGCAGACACTGCACCTCCTTCTTCAGGTACTGGAGCTCATTCTCCTTCACTCGCAGCAGCACCTGGGGACGGGGCGCCGGGGTGAGCCAGGGCCGGAGGCCAGAGCACCCAGGCCCGCAGTGCACCCAGAGGGCCTCTCGCTGCCTCGGAGCCTGCTCCACATCCGGGGTGGACTCCCTGGGAAGCCCACTCTTCTCTGTCCCTCCCCCCACCCTGTCCACAACAAGTGCAAGGGAATCTGTCACTCGTACCTGCAGCCCCAACCCAGCACCAGGCCTTCCTTGCTGGGGGCAAGGAGGTCAAAAGGAGGCTGTGTTGTGGACTGACGGTCAACCAGAGCTAGGTGACCATGGTGGGCTACCCCCAAGGCCCAGGGGCAGGGCTGCTAACTTGACCAGGGGGCTGCAATCCCAGCTGGGCCCGGAAGGCTCGAAAGCTTTTTGTGTGTGTGTGTGCTGGAGATTGAACCCAGGGCCTTGCACCTGCGCAGCCAGCTCTCTACCAGCCGAGCTATAGCCCAGCCCAGCTTAAAGGCTCTGATTGAGTCCGCCTGCCTGGTTCAAGCCCTGCTCCTGCAAGGAGGAGTAGGGGACCCCAGGAAAGTGCTGACCTCCCCGTGTGTGCTCCTCCTCTGTCCAAGAGGACATGGAACTCACCAGGGTTGGGAGGTTGGGCAACGGAGGTGAAGGACTTACACAAGTGCCCTGCTGCGGGGTGCCTGGTGTACCTGTGTGTTACTATTACAACACGGGGTGACCCTGGATCTCGCGCAGTTTCCCGCTCTACGTTGCCTTGTAAGGGAGGCGCTGGCCCATCCTACAGAGGAGCCATTGTGGCTCACGAAAGCAGCGGGACAGGACTGGATGAGGCTGGGTCCCCAGCTGCAGGTGACTCCGTCTGTCACAGGGAGCTCTCTGCACAGCCCGGGCCGGGGGCCACCGTGCCTGGCGTCGGGGAGCCCCTCACCTCCAGCTCACAGGAGCTCCGCTCGGGGCGCCCACAGCTGTTGCCGGTGCCCTGCGAGGCGATGAAGCTGCGCAGCCGGTCGATCTCCTCCGACAGGCGGGTGTGCAGCTCCTGGGGGGGGGGGCGCCGTCAGAGGGTGCTGGCCCGGCCCCGCCCCGCCCCTGGAGCCCCGCCCCTGGAGCCCCGCCCCGCCCCTGGAGCCCCGCCCCTGGAGCCCCGCCCCGCCCCCTGCAGCCCGCCCCCGGGCCAGGCCCACCTGGTTGTGGCGCAGCAGCTCCTGGCCCTCCTGCTGGCAGCGGCGCAGGGTGTCCTCGCGCTCCTCAGCCTGCCGCGTCAGCGCCCCGATCTCCAGGCACTTCTGCGAGTAGCGCTCCGACAGCACCTGCAGCTCCCGCTTCAGAGCCTCCACGTCCGACCTGCGGGGAGGGAGGGCGGCCAGCTGCAGGCGACCAGAACTCCTGGTCCCTCCCCAGCTTGCCCTCGGCCCACTGGGGCCTGGGGGCCGGTGACAGCCTTTCTGGGCTGCAGGGTGGTGGCGAAAGCCTCTAGAGTCCCCCAATTCCAGAACTGTGTTCTGTGGCGGGGAGGTGACACTGCCCGGGCCTGGGGACACTAAAGGGGTGAGGAGGAGGGAGGTGGTCAAGACCAGCTCAGACAGGCCAGAAGAGCTGTCACCGGCACTGGCCTGGGCTGGCTGCGGCCCTGCTGTCCCTGTTCCTGTGTGAGACTGGGCAGGAGCCTCCACGGGGCACACTTGTGGCTCCCAGGCAGACCCTGCCCACGGGCTCCAGGGCTGTTCCCTCTTACTGGTGCTGCTGCCGGAGGCCGTCTGGGCCCTGCTGCAGGCTGCGCGTCTTGCTTAGCTCGCGGCTCAGCTCCTCCTGGTAGGCCTTCTTCATGGCTTCGATGGCTAGGACCGGGCAGAGGGGAGGAGAGGTTGGAGGGGGGAGGCACCAACCCCAGCCTCCTCTCAGCCTCCACATGAACTGGTAGAGACAAGATCAGGAAGTGGGTTCATAGTCCAGCTGTGCCCTGAGTGGCTTTGGGCAAGTGCTCAACCTCTCTGAGCCTGTCACGGAAGACGAATCTTGTCTGATGGACTCTCGTAGGGAGACCACGATGTCTAACCACTGGTGCCTCCTGTTAGTAACTGTGGGGTTGGACCTGACATGGTGGATTATCCCTGCAGAGCCCCGAGGGCCCTCGAGCAAGACCCGTCTGCCTCGCCCAGGCTCAAGGAACAGAGCTGGAGCTGGACAGTCTGCACAAACCTGTGTGACTTTGTGCAGTGACTTAACCTCTCTGTGCCTCATTTGGAAAGTGGGGAATCAGCTGCGACTCCACTCCAGGGTTCCTGGAGGATGTGCGTAGAGCGTTTAGAGCAAGGCCCTGCACAAAGCGGACATTAGCTGGCTGTTTTTCTCAGACCATGAGCTCCCAAGGCCCGAGTACTTTTCCACACCACACAGGGTTGTGGTGAGGCTTAAACAAGTCGCCATCTGTAATTTTACCCGCAATTCCCAAATCCAGAAGCTCTGAACACAGAAATGAAAGTTTCCTATCATTCTTCTGATGGAGGTCCCCGATGTGAAGGGACGTGAGGCTGTTCATGGTCTTTGCTTTGTCACACAAATGCCACTCCATCCGTCTCACTGCAGAAGCTCTAGTGCTGGATCACAGGGGGCACCTGGATCCTGCTGGGTGAGGGTGGCAATGGCGCCTGCACAGGGTGACCTCCCCAAACACAAGTCCCCGAGCCCAAGGCCCAGCACGAGGGACTGTGGGCTGCACAGGAAGCACCGTGTCCAGAGCTGGCGGCTGCAGCTCCGCATCATGTGGCCTCTTTTATGGCTCCTACGTTCTGCCCTGGGTGCCTGGCCACAAGCCCCCGGGTGCCAGGCTGTGCCAGCACACACCGCAGGCGTGCAGCGGAGGGGGAGGAGGTGTCGCCACCTTGGGCAGTTGCTGCTTCTGGCTTGAAGGCACAGGGGGACTCAGAGCGTGACTGCAGTCAGAGTGCTCGGGGCTCCAACCCTGGCTCTGCCACCTCCAGCTCTGCCTTCTGGGACAAGTCAGCAGCCTCTCTGAGGCCCAGCTTCTTCACCTGGGAAACGGGCTGCTCTGGGGAGCAGTGAGGGCTAAGGACATCTCCTGGCCAACACAGAGTGGGCACAGCGGCCTGGGGCAATGCTCACAACCAAAGCTGGGCCGCCCGGGTCTGGCCATGTGCCCAGGGACAGGGCACACCTATAAGGACAGGGCCTGTGACTTGAGGTGGACGCCAGGGGCTACAGGCCCTGAGGGAACGCAGTCACAACCCCCGGGGCAGTTACTTCCCGTCTCAGTCTGGCCTTTCAAAGGAGGGCCAGAAACCAGTTCTGCCGACGGCTCCCAAGCCCGACACCGAAACCCTGCCTCTTCAGAGCCTCCCCAGTTCCGTCGGGAGGCTCAGTGTGGAGGCCGAGCCTGGCGCGTCCTCACCTGAGGCGGTGGCCGCCGTCTCCTCGGCCAGCAGCCACTCCTTCTCCTGCTGCAGCCGCTGCAGCTCTCGCTCATGGTGCCGCTGCAGCTGCTCCATCACCTGCTGGTGCGAGGACTCCATCTCCGCCAGGCTGCGCTCGCAGGCCTCCTGTGGGCCAGAGGCCAGGAGGTCACCGGTTGCGCCACTACCCAGGCCAGCAGCCCTTCCAGGCAAGAGGCCTCCGGCAGCTCCTCGGCAGTACCCGGACCTGCCCACCAGCTGCACCTGCCCACCCCGCCCACCCTCCTCACCCAGAAGCCTCAATTGCCACTCTCTGGCCTCACACCCTCCAGGGCTCCCCACCCTGCAGGCTCCAGTCCCTGTCCCGCGGCTGGCCTTGTGGCCCATCCCTCCCAGCAACCCGCTATGAAAACGCAACCCTGGGCGCGTCCATACTCCGAGCTTTAGCGCACGCTGTTCCCACTGCCCGGAATGCCCCGTCCTCTCCCTAGGGAAGGTGCCTGGCCTGCGGCCCAGTCAAGATGCCTCTCAGAGCTCTGTCCCTGGGCAGCCCCTTCCCTGCCTCCAAAGGTTCTGCTTCTGCCAGAACATAATACCCCCAAACAGGGACCTCTGACCCCTGGGGTCCAGGCCAGGGCACAACACACAGCGGATGCTCAGCAAACAAGCTGAAGTTAATGATGTAATACCAAACAGGGTTCTGCAGAAGGGGGCAGGGGTTTTAAAGACTGGCGATGCCCACCGCTAGGAGTGCCCACCATGACGGACACGTGCGGGTGGATTTGCGCATCATTGCACAAATGTTTGTTTGGTTTTGTTTTTCTGTGGTGCTGGGGATGGAGCCCAGGGCCTTGTGCATGCGAGGCCAGCCCTCTCCCAGCTGAGCCACATCCCCAGCCCCGCGTCACCGCATTTGAACAATTTTATCCCTTGACTAGCAGGTCAACTCTGAAGTGGTCACACAGGGAGTCACACAGGAAGCCACACGTGTACAGACTCGGGGACAAGGGTATTCCTTGTGGCAAGGTTGGCAACAGATGGAAACGAGAAACAATCTAAATGCCAACGGGAGACCCTTAAATAAATGATGGCAGGGCACCTTCTGAAGGACTCCAGGCAGTTGCTAGGACACAGATGCCCCTCTAGCTGCTGCGGAGGGTGTCCCAGGAGCCAGGCCATGAAAGCTGGCTGTGACCATGCACACAAAGTGTGCTCACAGGCAAAGCACATCTGGCTCTGTGTCCAAGTCGCGTGTGAGAAAACAGAGACGGGCACAGACTGTGGGAGGGAGGAAAACAGCACCCCAAGATGTCCATGCCCTACTCCCTGGGCCTGGGACTGCGTCTCAGTCCATGGCAAGAGGAATCAAGGCTGTGCGGGATGCAGGTTACTGGTCAGCTGACCAGCTGCCAGCAGACCACAAACTAGGAGATTAGGCTGGACTATGGGGCCAAATGCAATCACAGGGGAGCAGCAAGCCGAGGGAGGGAGATGTGACCAGGAAAGAGTGGTCACTGGGGCAAGAAGTGACAAGGACCAGACTTCCCCTCTGCAGTCTTTGAAGATGAAGGAAGGGACCAGGAGCCAAGAACAGGCCTACCACCAGAAGTGGGACGTGGCAAGAGCCACGGAGGGGAAGGCCGTCCTGCAGCCCGGCCAGACGGCGCCAGGCTCCAGCCTCCCAACCAGTGGAGACCTGTGCTGTTTAAGCGCTGTCTGTGGTCATCTGCGCCAGAGGAGACAAATGGAGACGAGGTGCGATGGTCACTGGGGTGGGAGAGGCAGGGACACGCTCATTTCTAACCTTTCAATTTGCTTCAGTCATTACTATTATTTTTGTGGTGTTGGAGGTCAAAGCCAGGCCCTCACCCAGGTCTGGGCAGGTGCTCTACGACCACCAAGCTCCGTCCCCAGCCCCTGTGAGAACGTCTTGAAAATGTGAACATGTCTCTTGTGTCAACTTTTGAGGGGTACCAGGACTGGACTCAGGGGTGCTTGACCACGGAGCCACATCCCCAGCCCTATTTTGTACTTTATTTAGAGACAGGCTTGCTTAGTGCCTCGCCATTGCTGACGCTGGCTTTGAACTCATGAGCCTCCCACTTCAGCCTCCCGAGCCACTGGGATTACTGGCGTGCACCACCGCGTCCAGCTCTTGTATCATTTTGTGAAAATGTTTCCAGTAATTAAGAAAGGCAGGGAGGAGCCGGGCAGGAAAGCACTGCTCAGAGCCAGGAGAGCTTCGCGGGACCCTGCAGCAGGCCTCTTGGAGGGAGGGTAAGGGCCTCCTGGATGCAGGTGTTCTGGTGGGAGAGGCACTTCTGCCCTCTGGGCCTCTCTGCTGTGTTCCGAATGTCCCCTACTGAGGACCACAGAACATGGCTTCAGAGCCCCACAGAATGGATTCCTTAGGAAGTGGATCTGCAGAGCCCCACTCTCTGAGCTTAGCTTCAGCCTCTCAAACTGGCCTCACAAGACCAACCCACGAGGCTCCCTGAGCAGAGGGGCCGCTGGGCACAGGAGGACAAGGTCAGCACTGTTGGGGGAAGCCTGCATTCTTAAAGGGCCAGCGCAGGCAGGCAGGCAGGGCAGCTGAGGGTGTGGGGTAACCGCAGGAGGTGCCCGTGAAGAGGACTCCTAGAAGGCGAGGTGCTGCCCCGACCTACCTTCCTGAGTGGCCCCAGGTCCCGGTACTGGCTGCACCTCTCCATGAACACCTCGGTGAGTGAAGAGACACTGCGGCACCACCGCATGGGGCCGGAGGGGTCTCCTTTGCCAGCGGAGGGGCTGAAGTCCCAGCGCATGAAGCCAGGCCCCTCAAGGGTGCCGAGCCCCACAGGAAGGGCGCCCGCTTGGCCTGAGACACCAGGCTGGGGAATCTTCCCCAGAAGACACCTCTCCAGGGCCCGCTGAATATCTAGCCACCTTGTCCTGTGCCTGAGGGGGACACTTGACAACTTCTCTTTTGCAGCCTTCCATCCCGACTACCTTCCTTCAGCTGAACCCAATCCGCCTGCTCCCCACCCATCCCATCCCGAGAGGAGAGTGCCGAGGCCTCTGGAGCACACACGGGGCGGATGGCCTGGAGCACACAGGTCTGTGACAGCCCAGGGCCACGCCCCTTCTATCTGTAAGTCAGAAGCCAGACGCTGCTGTTCAAGCTTCATTTTAGTGGCAGAAACACTTTCCAAATGGATCAAAAGCTGGTTCATAGCAGAACAGATGAAGGCGGAGCTGCTGGGTTCCAGGGCCCACCCAGAGCACTTGGAGCTTCCTGCCCTGGGGGGCCTCTGAGGTCTTCCAGGTGCCCCAGGCTGTGGTGTGGGCCCAGCTTGCGGAGGGGCCCTGCCCAAGGCACTTTGACAATACCAGTTCCCCTGCACCCCCAGTCCTCCCTCCCCAAACCCAGGGACCCCAGGCTAGCCCTCCTCACTAGCCCCCACCCCACTCCCTCACTGAACTCGTCACCTTCAATTCGGCCTTGGGTGGCCCCAACTAGCACAGCAGACAGCCTCGAGGGCTCCCCTTGGCCTGCCCAGGGCCCAGCCCTACAAGGCTCCTGCCAGCCCGCTGCCCTCCAGCTCGGCCCACTCCTTGCCTGGGCTCTGCCCTCTCCAGACCTGCCCGTGTCCCTGGCAGACCTCCCCAGGCCAACTCCTCAGCTTGTCCTTGGAGGCCTTCAAGAGGCAGCGGCTGGCCTTCCCCCCCACCACCACTCTCACATCAGCGCCTGCCCCTCAGGAAGCCTTCCTGGATCCCCCTCGTGGTGACCTCCCCCTTCCCCTACTGGAAGCTTCCAGAAGGGTCCTGCTCCCAGGGTCTGGGACCCCAGGGTTCTTTTCTCCTCAGGCAGTGATGTGCTGACTGCAGACAGCTGATTATCAAATTTTTAGGAATTTTATGACTTCATTACTAAGCAAGACCATTTCAAAAAATTAAATTTATATATTTATCATTAAATTAATTACATTATAAACAAAAATACTCAGGATGTATCACTCCCTAATTGTTTCCCCATGTTTATTAGCACGCTTACGTCCTGAGGGTGTGCCTGATGGTGCCAGAAGGGGAAGTGCTACCTATCCTGCGGTGTTTCCTCCCAGACCCTGGCTCCAATACGCCAGGGACTTGGGCTGGACTTGTGGCACTGGCCACATGGGAGTGTTACACCCCGGAAACCCGTACGCGTCACAAGTCAGGGCTCAGGTTATTGCTTCATGGATCAACTACAGACTTCAGCCAGTGATGAGGAAATGCGGAAAGGATGCAGGTTAGACTCTGAAGTGCGTCATGGATAGCTTTAAATGCACACAGAACCAAAAACTGGAGAAATATTCTTAATAGAATATTCTCAGTAGAAACTATTATCTGATTCAGGAAAGAAGTTTGCTCACATTTACCAAGTTTCAATGTACGTCTTCTTATTCATTAGCATAAACCACATATCCATCAACACACAGATTACAACTACACATGGACACGGCACGGAGAAGTCACCGGAGCCCTGAGACAAGTCCATCTGCCATATGGAATTCATAATAAAAAGTATTTCATCATTTTTATTTGTAAGTTATATACTAAAAACATCCTTTATATGGGGAATATTTATAATAAATGTGTACACACACACACACACACACACACACACTTTCTGGCGAGCTAGTCGTCCCAGTTGTGACAATCAAGAGTTTCCAGACACAGCCAACTCTTCCTGGGGGACAAAAATCTCTCCCAGTTGAGAGCCGCTGTCCTGGGAGGACAGTGTACTCCCAGAGGGCCACTAAGGGGGCCCGTGTCCTGCAGACCTCCTTGGAAGGCACAGGCAGGCTTTCCCTGTGTTTAAGGAACAACTCCCAGGGCCACTGGCTCCCCACTTCCCCAGGGTGATGCAGGGGAGGGGTCCAAGTGCAGAGTGTCACACGGGGACTCACACACAGGCTCTGCAGTCAGCTGGACCCAGGCTCAAATCCCACCTCTGACACCTGCAGGTCGGGTGACCTCGGGCAAGTCACATAACCTCTCAGTGCTCAGTGGCCTTGTCTGTAAAATGGGCACAGTGATCATGCCCACCAGCTGTGGGGAGATTAAATGAGATGACGCATGTCAAATGCCTCACGGTTCCACCGGGCAGGAAGGGCTCCCAAAACATTAGCTGTTTTCGGGTAACACAGCAACCAGGAACCTGCCCCCAACCCCTCAAAACAACTCTGTGCCATACCTGAGAGATGTAGCCTGGGGGGACGTGGCCATCCTCCTGGGACTTGCGTGCATTCTGAGGGGTCTCCCCTCGGAGGCGCCACGCCTCCAGCTGGGCTCGAAGAGACTGGACCTATGAGGGGAGGAGACCAGGTCAGTGGGCGCAGAAGCACGAGGGACCTGGTGGGAGGCAGGGAGAGGCCCACAGGCCTCCAGCTTCCAGGTGCTTAGGAAGGGCTCAGGGGCTGAGAGGGACACGCAGCCCTGGCGTGGAGGTGCAGGCAAGGGGACGGTTGGGCTGTTTCCTGGATGGCCGAGTTCAGCCCAGAGAAGCCCAAGCAGGTTGGGAACAGCACACGGCAGGCACAGACCTTGCCCACACCGGGGAGGTAGCAGGGGCACCTTAAGTCTGTTTGGCCACCAGTGGAAGGCCTGCACTGTGGGATCCCAGGTTGCCCGGCGACTGAGTAACCAGTGAAGCGGACTCAGGACCAAGGACAAGGCCTGGGGTGTACAAGATGCACATTTGGTGACCTCTCTCCACCTCCATGGCTTAAAATTAAGGGCAGAAGCGGAAAATACACACGCGACTAACGCGGCCCAGCCTGGGGAGGGCTCCCTTCCCGGGAAGCGGGGCATCAGATCGGGCGACCCCCCACCCCGGGAGCTAGGCCAACGCAGCGCCAGGGCGTGCGTGGTGGGCGCGGTGGGCGCGGCCGGGCAGGGGCCCACCTCCTTCTCCAGGGCCTCGTGGCTGTCGCTCGGGGGCCCGCGGCGTTCGCCTCGGCTCTGGTGGAGCAGGGCGGTGAGCGGCACCCGCTTGTTGTCCCGCAGGGGCAGCTTCTCCAGCTCCTGCCACTTCTTCTCGATCTCCTCGCTGAGCCGGCTCTGCTGGTCCTCCGTCAGCGGGGCGCCCAGGCTCCTGCGCGGCCCCTCGCCGGCGGGCACCTCGGGGGCCCGGCTGTCCTCGAACCACTTGCGGCGCTCCTCGGAGCGCTGGGCCAGGTCCCGCTCCAGCTCCTCCTGCTTGGCCGGTCGGTCGGGAGCGCGGGCCCGCTGCGGGGAGCCCTGAGTCAACGGGGACAGCTCCACATAGTCCAGGGCCTGCCGAGGCCCATCCGCCTTCCGGGGGCCGGCCCGGCCGATGGCCTCAGAGCCGGCTCGCTGCTCCCCAGCCTTTAGGGAGCCCTTCTGGGAGCCATAGCCGTGCAGCGTGTTCTCTTTATTGCACTCCGAGAGCCTAGGCAGGGCACAGCAGAGAACTCTCAGGGGGGACTTGCCCACTCGGTCCCCCAGGAGCACTTTCAGAGGGCGGCTCAGGTGCCAGGAGCTGGACAGGGCCCAGGGGAGTAAGCAACCCAACCTGGAGGCCGAGGACCTGAGTTTCACTGTTTACAGACCCTGGGGGCATCCCAGCTCTGCCACTCAGTGGAGCCTCCGTTATCCATTTGTAACATGGGACAGCACTGACGCCAGCACTTAGAGAAGAGTGGGACGCACCAGGAAGCCCTCGCAAATGCTGACCAGTGCGTTATTACCAAAAGCAAGAAACAAAAAAACGTATAAGACAAGGCCCAGGGGCTGGGGCTGGGGCTCAGTGGTGGAGCGCTTGCCTGGCGTGTGTGAGGCCCTGGGTTTGATCCTCAGCATCACATACAAATAAACGAATAAAATAAAGGTATTGTGTCCAACTACAACTAAAAAATAATTATTTTTTTAATATTTATTTTTTAGTTTTACATGGACACAATACCTTTATTTTGTTTTTATGTGGTGCTGAGAACCAAACCCAGTGCCTCACGTGTGCTAGGCGAGTGCGCTACCACTTGAGTCACATCCCCAGCCCAAAAAAATAAATATTAAAAAAAAAAAGACAAGGCCCAGGGTTTAAGGGGCTCGTGGTGGAGCAGAAGAGGGGTGCCTGTGGTCTCTACAGATGGGGTGAAGACTTCGGGACTTTTAAGTGACTGGCAGTTCTCTTCTTCCACAGTATAGGCGGGTACACTGTCACCCAACCAAAAACTACACTTCCCAGCAGCCCCTGCAGCAACCCCTGGCCGAGACTGCATTCCACCAGCAGGTGCAAGAAGCTGCTCCCTCTATGGGGCTGGGTGATCCTGGCTCCTGACAGGGCCTCTGAGCCATAGCCCAAGCTCTGCACAGAGGCTGCAGAGCAGCCCACCAGGCTAGACTCCACACCTTGGGGCTCATCTGGAGAATGGAGTGAACAGCTATCTGGCTTAAGCCACGGTGTCTTGAGTGGCTGTGTCAAGGCCATGAGCCTGTATGCTGAACAACAACTCCGCTGCACTGGACCTGGGAGCCTACCAAGGCTCTGGGCACATCTGCACAGGTGTGCAGACATAAAGCCCAACACGACAGATGACAAATCTGAAATTCAGATGGGAAGTCATTGGTCCAGGCTGAGCTGCCAGGGTGTGGCCAGGCTGGGGGACTCACCTCAGCCCTCTTCAATAGCAGGCTCTCTTCCTGCTGCCCAGCAGCTTCAAGTCCTGGCCCCAAGAAGGCTCTGCCACCAGGTAACAAGAACCCCACCCTTCTGCCCCGGCAGCCTGGAGCAGGGGCTCCCCACCTGGGAGGGGACTGCACAGACGCCAGAGGACCCAGTCTCTCCCCTACAAAGGCGCAGGTATGGCCCCCAAGGCAGAGAGGGAAGAGCCACGTGGCAGGGACCTCTGACTCAATGCCTCTTCTCTCAAGAGCTGAATCCCCTTCCCACTCTTACGGGATGTGGGGGACATGAAGGGGGAGAGGTCAGACTTCAAATTCTCAATGTGTTTCCGGGTGAATGCCAAGAACCCCCGCTGTTCTTGCCTAGCTTATGTTTTGGTGCTGGGGGTTGAACCCAGAGATGCTCCACCACTGAGCCAATCCCCAGCCCTTTTTATTTTTTGAGGATTTCTCGCTAAATTGCTTAGGGCTTTAGTAAACTGCTGAGGCTGGCTTTGAACTTGTGATCTTCCTGCCTCAGCCTTCCAAGGCGATGGAATTACAGCGTGTGCCACAGCGCCCAGCTCCCTACTTTGTTCTAGAGGTACCGAGGCCCAGGAGGCTCAGTCTCAAGGCTGTCAGGTGAGTTCCCAGAATCCCACTCCTCAAGATGTGAAGGCAGGGACACCTGCCCAGCCCAGCCCAGCACTTACTTGGTGACATCTGGCGCTGAAGTTGGACGCACAGTCTTCCTCAGAGCCTCGATCCAGTTCCGCCGGATACCTGAGGTCATGGCCGACAAGGTATAGACAGCATCCTTGGTCTGCAATCCACACAGCAGTAGGTTAACACGTGGTCAACCCCACAGTCTCCCTGCTGACGCAGGAAAGGTGGCCCTTCCTTCCCTGGAGGGGGTCTAAGGTGATAAGCAAAGGGTCTGCAGAGGGCGCAAACGTCCTCCACGAGCCTGGGCAGCCGCCACTGGCACCAAGCTCTCCCCAGAACTCCCAGGTGTTGGCACCAAAGCTTGACTGGCTCTGCGGAGAGGGTCTCTGCATAAATGGGGGAGTCACGTCCGATACCAACACCTCCTCTGGGTCCGACAGCCACGCTGCCCACCCCCCACCTCCCCCAGCCACACGCAGCCTCACGTGGATCTGGAAGCCATAGTTGCGCTGCACCGCGTACTCGGTGACGTCCGTGCAGGAGCGCAGGTCGATCTCACCGTCCAGCTCATCTGCCTAGAGCAGAAAGCACGGCAGGGTCACATGCGCCCTGGGGAGTCCCAGTCTACCGAGCCCGGCTGGGGCCTGTGGGCACCAGCTGCCTCACCTCTTCCGCTGTGGAGTCTCTGTAATACTTGAGGCTTGAATCTGTCAGCACGAACCAGTGCTTCTTCCACTGTTGGGGAGAGGGGAGGTGAGAAGGGCTGAGGCTGCGGGAGGCTGGACCGCGGGGGCTGTGCGCGCCATCCTGCTGGCTGATGGGGGGGGCTGTGCGTGCCATCAGAATGGCTGACCCGGGAAAGCAGCCGGGTCAGAGAGTCAGAGCCTCAAGCACCTCCCAGGTGCAGATGAGGGAGGGGCGTGTCCTGGGTAAGGCCACTTCCTGGCCGAGTCAGGGGCTAAGGGCAACCAGAACATCACCCAGGCTTTTTTCATACACCTGTGGTCAGGGACAAAAGACTTCCCAGACAGGAGAAAGAGGCCCAGGGGAGGGGACAGAGAGCTGGGCACAGGCAGCGTGTGAGCTCCGCCAACCTGTACGTGATGACTTGGGCACCTTTCTGTGGTGCCCATCTCCTCTAGTCCAGGGTCAGGTGGCAAAACATGTTAGTAAGGGGCAGGGGCACGAGATGCACTCTGGGCTTTGGCCTTTCTACTGGAATGCCACGGGCAGTCCGTGTCCTGCCAGGGTCAGTGCGTGTCGCCCAGGCCCCAGCCCTCCTGGGGCTCCCCATCATCAAGCCCTACCTGTGCTGTTGCAAGCACTTAGTTTCCTTTCCCCTGGGCCATAGTCAGTTTTCAGGGGTGTGCAGGGATGACCTCCCCACTTATTCCCACTCAGTATCTCCTGGGAACTCGGGTGTCACATCCAAGGACCTGGGGTGTGCCTGTGCCCTTGTTGGCTGAGTGCCTTTGTGCAGCTGTCTGCACTTCTCTGAGCTTTAGTCTTCTGGGGCTACCAAGAAGTCCCCAAGCCTTTGGCAAGGCGAGAAGTACCTACCCCTGTGTTTCTCACGACACTTGGCAGGGGCCTGGCCGAGGTTGTTGGGAGTGGTCCTAAGAGGCCGCTGGCTCAGCCACCCTGCCCTCCCTAAGTAGGACTTCAGCTGCCTCTCTGAGAGCGGCAGGTGCTGTGGCAATGGGGCTCTGGTCCTTGCAGGACGGCTCTGAGACGGAAGGGAGGAGCGCCATGGGCCTCAGTCCCGAGTTGTAGGCCTGGGCCGCCCAAGGTGCTGCCAGGAGAGGAGGGGACCACCACCCTGGTGGGCCTTCTCCTGCCTGTGCACCAAGGGACTGGGCTGGCTGGGCTCCCAGGGCCCTTCCAGCTCGGACATTCCAAAACCCTGTGAAAGAGGGTGAGTAACAGCCAGTTCTGGGCGGGGCCCATAATGCTCCTGCCCTCCGGGGACCCTGGGTGGGGAAGCCAGGAAGGGGTCACTGGCAGGGCGCCAGGCCTTGTGTGAGTCTGGAAAGCAGCCACCAGAGGACAGCGGCAGGCAGCAGGGACGGAAGGCTGTGGGCTGGAGGGAATAAAGCATGTGGGCAGGAAATACAATGAGGTCCCCCCTGGCCCGGAGCCCTGCCTGGCATGCGGGCTGCAGGCAGCCCCGAGCCGCAGGCACACGCAGACTGGGGTAGGCTGTGTCCCCTCCCAGGCTGGGTGGCGGGGAGCCAGCTCTCACTCCCAGGCAGGCCTGGCAGCCGAAAGGGCAGAGCTGGTGAAGTGGTCACTGTCCTCTCTGGTTCCAAAGACAGATATGACAGAAAAAGGCAGGGGTCATCACCCCAATAGGTGCCAGGGCTGTGGGGACTTGTCCACGCTTATCTCTGTGCCTCTGTCTCCACTCAGTTCCCATCACGGGTATATCACAGACGGAGCTGCTGAGGCCTAGAGAAGGCTCTGGCTCCACCAGCGGGGGCCCCAGGTTGGTGAGACTCCTGAGCTGCGCTGAGCCCCACCCTAAGGCTGAGTCTTGGGGATCTGCATGTGTCAGGCCTGGTGATCTCTGTGGACCTTCCTGCCCGACCCCTGTGAGGGGGGAGGACAAGCGGCCCCTGGTGAGACCAGAGGATGGGGCCTGGTGTGTGGACCAGCAGGCCTCTACTCCCTCCACTCAGGGTGACCCACATACTGCAGATCATCCAGGAGGACGATGCCCACTCCTCCCATCGGCACGACCCAGGCCCTCTTCTCCACTGGACAGGAAATGTACCCCCAGGGTTTTCACTCTGGGCCCCACTCCCACCCCCAGAGGCCAGGGCTCTAGAAGGCTGGGAAGGCAGGGAGGCCCTGAAGAAGCCCAAGCCAGCCTCTCCCCTGGCCCGGCCCTCCTACCTCTCCAGGCTCATCCAAGATCGACATCCATCCCTTCTTGAAGTTGAGTAGGTCGGGCTGTGGGGGGTGAGGAGGCAGAGGGTCAGGCCCAACAAGAAGCCCCTGGGCTGGGGGGGACGGGGTACTACACCCACCTGCCCCAACCCCGGTAAGGTTGAGGTCTTGAGAAACCAGGAGAGGGCTGAGGGCCCAGGTAACACCTACCCCACATGCAGGTGGGCTCCCCACCACTGAGGCAGCTTGGCCCCTTCCCCAACACCTGGCATGAGAGCCCAGGGAGTGGCCAGTGGCCGATATACACACCACCCATGTCCAAGCTCCCCTCCCACCAGCCTTCCTAACCCAAGATGGGGAAAGAAGGGGTGAGGGGACTTTGCCTGTAGAGTCTCCTAGGGGCTCAGAGGACAACACAGAGCAACAGTCGGAGCAAGCTGTCCCATCCTCTCTGACAGGCCAAGGGAGCCCAGGTGTGCACCTTAAAGCTCTGCCCACCCCTTGCTCCGACCCTCTGAGGTCCCCCTAGTCCCACCCTCTACTCATCTATTGGAGACCCTTAAAGACGGAGCCAGTCCCAGGCTGGGGTCAGAAACCCTCTGGTCCCCCAAGTCTCTTTGGGAAGGCCCAGCATCTCACTCCTGGCAAGCCCTACCTGCCAGGTGCTGCCCAGTGGGGCACGACCCCGGGGCCGGGGGGCTCCCAGCTGCAGCATGCTCCCTGGGGAGCCTGCAGCTAGAAACCCCACTCAGGCCTACAGGAAGAAGCTGCACATCCGGGCATATCCCTGACCATGTCCATGTGAAGGGTGCCAGCCTCCAGCCCGTCCCTGCCTGTAGGGGTCCTCTCTTGTTTATGTCCTGGTCCCTCTGCAGTCTCAGTCCCACAGGCTGGGAGGCTGGCAGACAGGGAGGAGGCAGCCACCTGTTGCCATGGCTCTGAGCCCACCTATCAGCACCTGCATCGCAGCTTACAGGCCGAGGTATCTGGTTGCCTGGAGGGAGCCGGGTGGCATGGCTCTGTGGGGTGGGCGGCGACAGCTGGAAACCAGAGCCACCTGACCTGGCCACCTCTCCTGACCAGTCCTACTCCCAGGGAGCCCTGTTCTCCTCAGGTGGAGGAAGCTGGCTGAGAGGGGCTTGGGCCAGCAGCCTGGACATCCAGAATTATGCATGGCCATGGTCAGGGGACCTCAAAGACAGGCGGCCTCACCCTGCTACCTGTCTGAGCAAGGAGACAGGCTCTGCTCTGAGCCAGGAAGCCCCAGGGCTGTTTTGTCCTGTCTGCTCTGTGTTCTGCCTGCCCCGTCAGCCACCTGTCCCAAACCAAGCCTGAAAACCAGTGACCACACTTCTACTTCCCTTCAGACCCTCCACGGCCCGGGGCCTGCCACAGGGCCTGGCTACAGCAGGCCTCAGAAAAAGCTGCCAATCACACCTCTTCTGCCTCCCTGGCCTAAATTCTTGTGCTTCTGGGCAGGGCCCATGGAGCTGATCCAGGGGAAAGCCCCAGGGGAGAACCCCTGGGTGGGCTGAGCAGACGACAGCCAATCGGACCCAAGAAGCTGAGCCAGGGATCCCCCCACCTCCCCCCCTCACTGCAATGACAGGCGGGGGCTCTGAGGGTTGCCTGGAAAGTGGAACAGCTGTGACCTTTCTAGGACACATCCCTCTTGGAGCCCCAGATGCCTGATATGGCAAGTGACTGAGGGTCCTGCCCTCCCCCAGCCTTCCAAGAGGCCGGAACCTGCCGCAGACAGAGCAGCCTGGTGACCCTTCAGAGATCAGTACAGACCAGTACAGCCATGTCAGGCACGACCTAGCAAGGCGACCTGCGAGAAAGGAGGCAGCCAAAGCAAGTTTTTAAAATCTCTGGCACAGAAACCTAGGGCCAGGTTCAAAAGATATGGCCAACTCCATTTCTCCTGTTTTGCCCTGGCTCTGTGGCCAGTCACCCTTTGGCACTTGCAGGATGCTCAGTGCTCCCGTTGTCCTTTCGGAAGTAGCCACAGGCTCCTGCGGCTGTCCTCCCAGACCTTGGCCACCGGTCAGCCCTGCCTCCTGCCTGGACCAAGGCCATGGACCCCTCTAAGCACACTGCTCACTCAAAGAGGCCTAGTGTCATAGGGTTGCTTAAGACCTGAAAGGTTGGTTCCAGGTGTCTCCAAAACAAAGTATAACTGCCTCAGGATGTGACAAAAGCCTCCACCTGCTGTCCCAACCTGGCTCCCCCAGCCTCGGCGCCCACATCATGCCAGGCCACCAAGCCCTTCACACTTGCCCCTGTCCTCAGCCTGAAATACTAGGTGCCCTCATCTGCCGGCCAAGCAAGTCCCCACTGGTGCCTCAAGAGTTGCCCTAATTGTCACCTCTGAGGCCCCATTCCCCATACTTACCACCCACCAGCCGCTCATCCACAGCCCCTTACAGAGGCCCCACTGTGTCAAGATTGTCTTAAGACCTTTACTTCTCCCCCTGGTGGGCTGCTCACCCAGACCCCACTGGAGCTCAAAGAGTCTTTGCAGGAAAAACAAAAAGCAACCTTTTTTTTTTAGGCACCAGGTACTGTTCTAGGGCAGGAAGCCAGCTGGGAACAAGGGCTGTAGCCCCTGCCTTGGTGGGTTTGAGTGGCAGACCGTAAACAAGAGAACAAGCACATAACTTGACGCCCAGCAATGCTGTGCTGGGACTAAGGCAAGAGTGGCAGACAAGGATTCCGACCCCAGGCCCAGCGCCAGATCACCAGCTCCTACAGCCTCGAGCAGTTACCTGCCCTCAGTACTGTGCCTTCTGCTCGGTCAGGGGTGGGGGCCAGGGAGATGGGTCAGGCACAGGAGAGGCAGCTTGGAGCAGGCTCAGATCCAAATGGCAGCCAGGTGAGCACTTGAGCCCCAGATTGGTGACTAGGAGCCTGTCTCTGCTCCCAAACCTGTGATGGCTCCCCTTTCCCACGACCAGGCTTTCCTGAGCCTCCAGGTGCTCTTGCCAGCCCTCCTCTACGCTCTCAGCATCCCCAACAGCAGCCTTCACCCACATGCCCCTCCCCCATAACGCTGCCCTCCTCCCCAGTCCATCACCTGACAAAGTTCTAGAATCACAGGAATCTCCCTCCCCAGGCCCTCCTCCCACTAGCGGGGAGGAACTGTCAGCCTACTCTTGCTCAGCGCGTGCAGCACAGGAACTGCAACCACACACATCTCTTATCTCTCCCTAGGAAAAAAAATGGGACAGAACTGGACACAAACTGTGGCCCAGCCACAGAGGGACCACGGGCATGCTGCTTCACCTCTCCACAGCTTAGCTCCCGTAGCTGTCTGATGGGGACTATACCGCAGACCTTAAAGGCTCCATCTGGTAGGGTGAAAGCACCCAGTGCAGGGGCTGGCAGGCACCCAGTGGGCAGTGTAAACACCTCCCCCTGGCCCCAGGACACTGACTCAGCTCCTCCCCCCACGTCCCCCTCTGCTCCCTGACAGGGAAGGGGAGGCTGCTGTCGACAGGAAGGGCCAGCAGGGAGGTGGCAGGATGTGCGGAGGCCGAGGAAGTCCAGGCAGCAGCGCCAGGTCATCCCGCTCACAGGGCCAGGGGCCCCACATGGGCCCCGCCTCCATCAGCCCAGCCCACTCCTCACTAGGACTTCACTCACTGGAAGGTAGAATGCGCATGTGCCGTGCATGTATATGTGTATGTGTATGTGTGTATATATATATATATATATATATATATATATATATATATATATATATATGTGTGTGTGTGTGTGTGTACACACACACACACACACACACACACCCTCTGCTCATCCTAACCCCAGGAGGGTCACCAAACTCTGGAGCCTCCCTAATGCATTAGCCAGAAATCAAAAGCAGCTCCACCCCTCCCTTCCAGCACATCATGATCAGTTGGCCAGACTGATCTGGAAAGGGGCACTTCTTCCCTTACGTTAGGGGCAACCCTCAGGCAACTCACCAAGGCCCGTCCAAGCCTCAGTTTATCTTGCTGGGAAGTAGGAACAGTGAATTCAGTTATGAGGCTCTACATGATCGTTAAGGCGCAGGTACTGACAACGCCTGAGTAGACCTTATCCCCCAGAGAAATACAACCTCCTGCCATCATGCCCACCGCCCCACCTGCAGTGTCGCCCCACTCAAGGCCCCAGAGCCCAAGCGGGGGAAAGTATGTTATCCCGCAGCTTCAGAGCCTCAGAATGGCTCCCGGGCCGTGGGGTGGGGCCGGCCGCCCTTCTCGCCCTCCTAATCTCGGGCCAGCGCGCACACGGGTGGCCAGCCTTTGCAGGCCAGGTCTGTGCGACCCAGTCAAGCAGCCCGGAGACAACCCAACCCAGGCCAGGCCCATCTGCGCTCCTCCCGGGCCGGAGCCCCTGGCAACCCCGGGAAGTCGGGTCTTCTAGGGAGTCGGAGGGAAGGTGGGACAGGCTCGCTCGAGTCCGCCCGCCACTGGTCCCGTCAAGGCGAGCGGGGTGCCGGGGACCGGGAGCTCCCAGCTCCTTGGGGTCGCCTGGGCTCCTACGGTAACGAGGGGATGGGGCGCGGAGGCAGGTCTGGCTGCCGACACCACCTCCCAACTCCGGGAAGTGAGGAGAGGGCTGCCCGGGCGGGGAGCGGAGGGGCTCCGCCTCGGCGGCGGCGCGCAGGCAACGGGGCGCGGGGCACTCACCGTCATGGCGGCGCCCCGGGGCGGCGGGACCAGGCGGCGGGACAGTGGAAGGGGCTCTCGGTCCGGGCTCCGCGGCGCGGGGACCCCGCCGCCGCCGCCCCTCTCGGCCGGCGCCCGCCGCTCCTCCAGCCCTGCCCTTCCCCAGCTCAGTCCCGGCCCCTTCCATCCGCCCATAAAACTTTTTTTTTTTTTTCAAACTTCCTGGGAGGACCCGGGCGGGCCAATGGGCGGCGGGAACGCCGGGACAAACAGCGGCGGGGGGCGCGATCGGACCAATGGGGGCGCGGGACGGGTCCGGGGGCGGGGCCTGCCCAAAGGGACGGGCGCGCGGGGGCGGCAGGGCGGCAGGCCCGGCGGGCGGATGGGGGCGGCGGCAGGGAGCCACGGAGGGCGGGTCCGGCTCCGCAGCCGGTTGCCTGGCGGAAGGAAGAGCCCGGCGTGCAGGTGACTCCGTCCAGCCACTGCTCGGGGCGGGAGCTGGGGGTGGCCTCCTTGCCGCCCTGGCTACCCCCCAGCCCTAGCCCCCAGCTAGGGGCGTTGGGCCAACCACGTCTCCGCGCCTTGATTGGATGGGGACATGGGCGAAGCATCTAGCCCTAACGACTCGAGGGGCACACCTGTTACCTTGTAAACGACTTTTGTCCTCACCATAGACCTGAAAGGGAGTGCTCCTTGTCTCCATTTTACTAATGAGAAAACGGAAGCTTAAAGAGGTGGGCCAACTTGCCCAAGGTCACAAAGTAAGACACAGAATTGTTAGTAAGTAAGATGGCACGCAGACTGAGTTCTTGAATGGTAAAGGCTTCCCCAAATGCTCCCTCCTGCCAAGCAGATCCTTCTCATTTTTGGTTCTTGCGGGTGGGTGTGCACCCGTCCATCATGTTCCCAGAGCTCTTGACAGTTATAGGCTCTTTGGCTGCAGATCTCATCTGAGGCCTGCAGATGAGGAGTCCTTGGAGGAATTTCTTGGCTACTGGTAGCCTGTGTAGCATAGCCAAACTGTTACCTGAAGAAAGGCACTGGATTCTGCCTCAGTTTCACCCGTTGTAAATGGACTAATGCTATTACCTCATCTGGTTGAGATGAGGATTAAGCTTTAATCCAAGTAAGGCATGTGAAACAACCTCTTGATCCCTACTTAGCCCTCCTTAGGTGGGAGGCATGGGAGGCAAGGGAGCCTGGATTACCCACCATTTCATCTCATCTGACGACTTGGGGTTAAAAATGATTGCCTTGTGGGGCTGAGGTTGTAGCTCAGTGGAAAAAGTGCTTGTCTAGCACATGTGAGGCACTGGGTTCAATCCTCAGTAACATATAAAAATAAATAAAATAAAGGTATTGTATCCCTTAAAATGAAAAAAAGATTTTAAAGGAAATTATTGCCTTGTAATGACTATCCCCATTTCAGAGATAAAGAAATGGAGGTCCAGAGACCTGCTGTTCTTTCTCAGCATTTTCTGCTAGGAGTCTCCCCACCATGAAGAATGAGGCTGAGGATAAGTCCACCTCACTCTAGACACTGGCCTTCAGGCACCTGTGTGGCTTCTCACTCTCCTCTGTACTTCCCACTCTCCTCAGGCCTCAAGAGAGTGAGGAACAGACCGAAGACCCCACCTACCCCCAGGGGCCTGGCCCATGGCCTGGGAACTACACCAGCCCCACACTCTGGTTTTCTGGTCAGGGATTCACCTTCTAGTACCCTCAACCCAGTGACCAGAGCACTCCCCTGTACAAAGTCTTTCCTCACTCAATGCATACTAACAGACCAGCTGTACCTTCTCATCCTGGGGAGTCATCACAACCAGGCCCACCTACTGTCCCCCTCTTAAGGGTACGTTCACATTCAGGGTCCATAACGCCGCACTACTGGAAATTCCCGGGGTTAACCAGCTCCTTTGTACCTCCTGGCTGCCATGTCTGGAATACTTCCCACCCTGTCATCCACACACCCATGCACGCATGCACACACTCATTTCCTCTCTCCTCATCCCCCTGAATGTCTGCCTGGACTATTCTCTTCACCCTTCATGCCTCAGGCCAAAGGGAGCCAGAGTGTCCAGTTAAACTTAGAAACTCCTTGCCACGTGCTCCCTCCAGAGTGATCCCTGCCTCTGCTGCCCAGACCTGTGCCCCTGCCTCTGCACATCCCTCCACCAAGGTCATGGCCATGCTGTGTTCTAAACAGTTACCTTTCAGGGACCTCACCTTGCTGTTCTCCTTGTGGGCGGGGATGGAGTGTGCCAGGCCTTGGCCCCCAGTGCTTCCTCAGTGAAGGTTGGTTAAATGGATAAACACCAAATAAAGAAGCCATGGCCCAGGCTAGCCAAACACAACTGGCAACGCCAGGAGTGAGTTTTTAAGATGGCAAAGACCACAGCCTCAAACTCAGGCGGTCCGGCCTCAACCCACTGCTCCATTGAGGATAATAAGGTAAGGCTCAGAGAAGGGGGCCACGGGCCAGAGCGCACAGCAGGTGAGGACTCAGGGGAAGCAGCAGGTGCTGGGCAGGGTTTGCAGACATCCAGCTCTGAGATCAGCCAGAGCAGGGTTTGAATCCCAGCTCTGCCGCTTGCCCTTTTGTGACCTGGAACACGTGACTTTCCTCTGTGCTTTATCTCCTCATCCGCAAAATGGGCAACATGTGTCTAACTGTGACTGGTGGTGAGCATCAAGTGTGGTCAGGCGCACTGCGCACTGAGCATGGAGCTGGGCATACAGTAGGTACACAGTCATTGCTGGTGACCATCACCATCATCATTACCCCAGGGTGCTGTCCTCAACTTCTCTCCTCCTTCTCTCCACCGAGGACGAACGTGTCCCCTCCTGGCAGACCTGCTGTGTGTTGGTGACTTTAGCTAGTCTGATAAGGTAATTCCTGCCCCTGCCTCGAAGGTACCACCCTACCTGGATCACTATGTTTGCCCAATTGCCCTTGGTGCCCTGATCCCCTAAAGAGGAATAATGATGTGGATGAGAAGTGGATGACCCTCTCCAACCTCTGTGCCTCTGGATCTCCCAGAGCCCTCCCTGCAGCCCTGAAATTCTGGGCAGATTTTCCCCAATGGATGTGGCAACCAGGGCTGGGTAAGTTTGGCCGCAACCCTTATCTCACATGAGAAGCGGAAAATCAGCTCCAGGACACCCAACTGTGTGACTTCAGGTCAATCAGCTCACGTCTCTAAGCCTCAGTCCCTTCATCTATAAAATGGGTACACTGTCTCTAAGGTACCTGGATTAGTGCTAGCGCCAGGGCCGACTATACAAAGTACAAGAGTTGGCCTGTCACCAATAAAGGAGATGCCATGGGCAAGCCTGCAGCCCCTAGACATGCAGCAGAAGCGAAGGGGACAGGAGGGTACAGGTCCCAGATGCCTCCCTCTCTGCCCTTGAGGAAGCCCCAATCAGAGGCCAGAGTGTTTACAGGCCTCTCTGGGCAGGGGATGGTTACGTAACGCCAGATGTTTGTGAAACTGGCTCAGACCCAGGCACACTTTGCAATCCCAGAGCCCCTTGCAGGCCTCCCCCGCCTTTCCCTCTCCCCAGCCTGGCTCCCCTGGCACAGGGCTGGGGGGAGCTACCAAGGAGAAGCTCTCAGTCACTGGGCTATTTGGTTGTCCTCACCCCCAAAGCCAAAAAGAGCCCCCACCCTGCCCTGGAGGCAAGAAAACCCACCTCGCAGAGACTGTCAGGAGCTTAAGAGCTCTTTCTGTGTGGGGCCCCAATCCCTGCTTAGCCCCCTCACTATTCTGGGACTAACATCAGCCTCCTCCCTGCCCTCCCTCCTCTGCCACCCTCACCCCTCCAGCCCCGTGGAACCAGCCTACCCTTTGCCACCTGAGGACCCCCAGAGACAGCAGGAACGGATTGAACAGCGTGGGTCGGTCCCCGGGCATCCGCCATGAGGTCACCAGTCGGCCCTTGAGTGGGCTCCCAGCCTTGCCCTCTGCTGGCCTCTTGTCTGCCTGTCAAACAGGGTCCAGTGTTGGCCACATGTCCCTTTGGCAGGATGGGGGCATCCCTGGCCACAGCCTCCCCTGCCCGTTCTGCCACCTCAAAAGCCCAGCGTTCCCGTCATTCTCCCCTCCCAGAACTGCCCGGGAGAGAAGCTTGCCAACTGGTTCACACCTCACTGTGTTTTACAGACAGGGCCCCTGGGGCTCAGCATCCTGGGGATGTGCACCCCACACCCTAGAGTCAAACCCCAGGTTGCCAAGGGGAGGGTTACGTGTCCTAGACGCACGCGTCCACCCCAAGAGATGTGGGCAGACTGTTTCACATTAGGTTCTAGAGACGCAGAGACCGTTAAATCTGTGCTGAACTCTAGGCTCCTCTTCCTCAGAGCAACAATGTCTGGAGCCAAGGGGTCATACAAGTATCCCCCAGCCCCTACTCCTGTCACCTGCCTAGCCATCAGGCAGTAGATTTGTGACCCCAGGTTACATGAAAGGAATGAGTCACAGAACAGACACCTGCAGACACCTCTGGCAGAGCCCCAAAATGTTCCTTTGAACTCTTCCTTGTTGGGGAAACAGACCCCAGGGAAGCAGAGGGACTGGCCCAAAGTCACAGGGTTATGGGCAGGGGTGGGACAGAGCTACGCGTACCTCTCTGGACGCGTACCTTTCTGGAATCGCAGATTTTCTGGGCTTTCCTTTGGTCTTTGGTTTGGTTGCAGGGCTGGGGATCGAGCCCAGGGCCCTGCACGTGCTAGGCCAGTGCTCGACCACTGAGCCACATCCCCGATGCTTTTTGGTTTTGAGTTTTGCTAAGTTGCCCAAGCTGACCTTGAATGTGCACACTCCTGTTTCCCCCACAGCCTGGTCCAGCCCCCCAGATCCCAGGAGGGGGGATCAGAGGCGGCGTGCCCCCGTGCCCCCGACAGCTGGAGTCCACACTCCCTGGAAGCAGAGCTGGAAGCCTCTAAGCAGAGGCCAGCAAGGCTTTGGAGGACAGAGTGCCCCACCTGGCTACCGTGCCCCCATCGCGGCCCTGAGCACCAGCTTGGAACGGGCCTGCAGTGGCACTCCAGCTCCGGCTGACCCAGCCCTGCACACAGATGTGCGCGAGGGAGCGCACAGATGAAGACCCAATGGAGCAGTCAGCACGTCTGTCTGCGCAGTCAGGGCTGCTGGGGGCTGGCTGGGAGGTTATCCACGTGGCTGGGAGACCAGAGGGTCCCCCAGTATTGCTATTTCCTCTTTGTTCACAAAGCTGTGGCTTCAGGAAGTATGAAGAAATTACTCCAAAAGAGGAAGAGCAACGTTGTCAGAACCCAGATAGTGATCAGAGTCCCCTGTCCCATCCCCATCTCACAGAGGGAAGACTGGCCCAGCAAGCTGCTAACAAGGAGCACACAGATCAGGGGAGAGCTGAGCGGGAGGGCAGGGGCAGAGGGAACACTGGGTGGGGGTCTTGAGCCTGGGTTCTAGTTCAAGTCCAGCCATTGACTGGCTATGTGACCTGGGATGACCCCTGCCTGTTCCTCTTCTGCACAGGGAGGGGTGCACAGATCCCCCAGCTCCCAAGCAGCAGGGCCAGACTCGGGCTCCAGGCTGCCAGACAGATGCTCTCCTGTCACACCTGGATTTTCAGGAGGCAGCACAGGGAAGAGCAGGACCAGGAAAACAGCCCTGAACAGTGTGTCACCTGCCCTCTGCCCCTCTGCTCTGATCCCAGCCCTCTGGAGGCTGAGGGTGATGAGAATCATCTGTTTGGCAGGTTGTGGGGAGGGGTGGGGCAGAGCAGGGCGCTCCATCCAGCTGCAGCCTGGCCCCAGAGCGGCCTCACAGGTCCCACCCCACCCCCCTGATCACATGTCCCTTCCCCCAGGACCTGGAGACCCTCCAGGCCCAGCTGACCCAGCCCTCCTCAACACTTCTTTGGCTCTTAAATGTCCCACCCTGCCCCTCAGCCTGGTCCAGCCCCCCAGAACCAGAAGGACCTTGCCCTCAGAGACCATCAGGGTCAAACCACGTTTGCCTGGGGAAAGGCAGCGACCTTTGTAGGGCAGCCCAGCAAGTTAGAAACAGAGCCCCGGGCTTTCAACCCCGGGACCGGCCACTCCCAGGTCTCCAAGCCAGAGTCACCCTGCTGTCCAGCTTTCCAAACCCCCACCATGTGCACAGATGACCTGGTTTCCCACCTGATTTCCTTCCCTTCCACTCCCCTGTGCCCATGCCCACACTCATCACCCAACTACCGGGTCTGCCTGCTTCTGGTCAGTCAGTAAATCTTGGCCTTTGCCTGGTTCTGACGCCTCACACTCCTCTGGTTGGAACTGGAGATGAGAAAGAATACAGATTAACCCAGGTTCTTCCCCAGGGTCCATCTGTCTGTCCACTCTCATCTGTCCCACTCTCATCCATCCATCCAACTTGTATCTCACACCCAGCATCAGTGGGTCCAAGTGTCCATCCGTCCATCCAACGTCATCCACCCTCTCATCCGTTCGGCATCCACCATCCGACCGACCCCTACTCCCAATCCAGCTTCTATTTATTCAACACCTCTCCATCCATCACGTATAGATCCTCCTCCGTCTGCTCAACATCTGCTCATCCATCCACCATCATCCCAGCCCTCATTTCCCATTCATCACCCAGTGTTAACTCATCCCTGTGACATTCTCCATCCATAGCCCGCCAGCACACCCCGCAGCCACCCTCTACTCTTCCAGCATCCGTGTATCCACCATTGGTCATTTGTCCGTCATCCATCCATCCCATTCACACATCTGGCACCTATCATTCACCCGTGGGACAGTCTACCCGCTGTCCCACGGCCTCCCTGTGTTTCTCAGATGCTCCTCGACGGAGCCATGACCAGCCATCCACTGAGCCAAGCCCCTTCAGGCCTGGGCCAGGGCCAGAGGCACACAGATGAAGAAGGCTGGGCTCCTGCCCCTGTGGAGCTCATGTTTCCTATGGGGAAATGACAGCCCAGTGTGACAGATGGAGGGAAGCAAAACTGCCAAGCTCAGAAGGGGAGCATCAGAAGGGGAGCTGGGGGTGGGGTGTTTGGGGAGGTCTGAGGACAGGACACCCAAGATAAGGCTTGAACAACAAGCGGGTGTTTGGTGGGTGAAGAGGCAAGGAAACAGCACCCAGGCAGGGGAGCGGCATATGTGAAGGTGGGAGATGGGCTCAGTCCTGCAGACCCCCAGAGAGGAGGCTTTGGACGCTGCACCAAGGACGTCTTAGAGAGGAGCTAGGCAGCCCCAGCCACCATTCCTGAGCCTCCCTGGGACCCCTGAGCTGAGGCTGAAGACTCTCTGACCACCTGCCTCCCTTTTGAGAGTCCAGCCTGCAGCACCCCAGTGGCCCCTGGGACACAGCACCATGTCCTCCTCCCTGAGCTGCTTGTAGTCTCCTGACCTCCCTAACTAGTCCAGGGGCAGCTAGAGGGCAAGGGCAAGAGCAAGCTGGCTCTCCCTGCATCTCTGCTGTCTGTGCACTGAGCTCATTAAAAGACCAATTTAGAAAAGTCTCAGGGTGGGGCGCAGTGATGCACGCCTATAATCCCAGAGGCTTGGGAGGCTGAGGCAGGAGGATCACAAGTTTAAAACCAGCGTCAGCAATTTAGTGAGGTTGTAAAAGCAACTTAGCGAGATTCTGTCTCAAAATAAAAAAATAAAAAATAAATTAAAAAAGGCTGGGGATGTGGCTCAGTGGTTAAGTGCCCCTGGTTCAATTCCTGGTATACACACACACACACACACACACAAAGCCTCAGGGAAAGACCACCAGGGAGGCCTCCCCAGTCCCACCCTGGGCTCAGGGCTTCACAGCACCACGGCTGAAAGCACAGGCTTTGGAGTGGAGGCTTTACTGTCATTCTCCTAACGTCTGCATGTGTGGTCCCCAGCGATGCCTAGTGAATCTGAGTCTCAGTTTCCTCATCTATAACAGGGGGCTGTCGCAGGTCCTTCCTGTCCATCTGAGGCACAGATGGCACAGCACCCAAGATGTCACATGGCAGCAAACGCCAATGCCGAGAAGCTCACCCTCCTTGGGGAGGGCTGTATGGGTGAGTGAGCAGGAGCCTTCCCGTCCCCCCAGTGGTGCCGCGAGTGCTAGGTCCCATTTTATGGCCAAGAATAGGCCGAGAGCAGCCAGAGCAGCCGTGTTCCTGGTGAGCTACAGCCAGGTGGCAGGTCTCTCCCTGCCCCCACCTTCAGATACAGGCTCTGGGCTTGGAGGACGCACCAAAGTACCACTGAGATGGGGGGGGGGACTTGGGGAGCACCTACTATGTGCCTGGTGCTGGGCCTACTCTGCACACAGTCCCCATTTAAGCAGTGTGTCTTGGCAGCCACCTCGACCCAGGGAGCACTCCCCAGCCTCTTCAGTGTCTGCAGAGTAGGGGCCCCAGGGAGAGGTGAGGCTCTCCTGGACTCAGCAACTTGGCATGGGGCAGGGGGAGGGGACACAGCCACACTGGCTGCAGTCCCAGGCATGGCCAGGTAGGGACCACAGACACAACACAAACCAGGTGCTGTGTGGCTAGAAGCAGAGAGGCCCTGACCAGAGCGTCCAGCTCAACGCATCAGGGTGACCCCCAGGGGGCAGACTTGGTTCTCCCCGCCCAGCCCTCGCTACCTGTGGACAAGGCGGGGCCTCGGAGTCCTTCTCCTCCAGACTCGCGCCTTCCTCATCAGGGTGCTGTGGAGACAAGGGAGACAGGGCAGAAGAAGCATCCGGGCCAGGGCTGGGCTTGTAGTAAACGCTCAAAACAGGGCTGGGATCCAGTGTTGGGAGCTGGGACCGTCTTAATCAGCAGGGAGGACAAGGAAAGAACCTGGGGGTGGGGGGGCTGGGGTCGTGGCTCAGTGGCAGAGGGCTTGCCTAGCATGTGTGAGGCACTGGGTTCGAATCTCAGCACCACATATCAATAAATAAAATAAACGTCCATTGACAACTGAAAAAAATACTAAACAAACAAACAAAAAGAACCGGGGGCGGGGTGGGGGAAGTGCATGAGCTGGGGTCATGCCACAGGGAGGCCTTTCTAAGAATTATCTGCACTGGGGTGGACTTTCTGGCCGCCCTTCAGAGGAGGGACAGACTCACCTCCAGCACTGGGGGGCTGGGCCCGTCGGTGGGGCTGCTGCTCCCCAGGTGGCCTATCTGCTCCAGAGTTGAGGTCTCTAGGTCACTTGTCACTTTGGTCTTTGGCCACTGGGTGGAGGTGGAGGTGCAGGCAGGGCAAGGTGGCTGGGCCGGGCTCTGGGGCCGCTGCCCAGGGATATGTCCATTCACTTGAGTGGCCTCCATCCAGTCTTTGGGTTGGCTGTGTCGCTCTGGCTCTGGGGCATCTTTTGTGCCTGGGGGGACCCGCTCTGGTCCTGAAGTCCTGGCAGGGTCACCCCAGTGTCTGGCTGGGTCCTTGTGGGGCAGCCGGGCCTGCAAGAGCTCCAGGAGACCTTCCCAGTCCAGCCTTGGGAGTCGGGCCCAGGCCCCCTCCCCAGGTGCCCGGAGGAGGCCCAGCAAGTCCCTCCAGTCGAGGTCAGGTGGCTTCTCGGGGCCGGGAAGGTGTGGGCATGCTCCCTCACCCCTCCAGCCCAGGGCAGTGGGTGTCTCTGGCTGCGGAGGGTATGAGAAGTCTTGGGGGCCTGCCCAGGAACTCTCTGGGAGAGTCACAGGCTGGTGGGGACTGGACAGCTCCTGCAGGCTGCCCCAGCCCCCCTGGGCTGGCTCCTGGAAGGGGTCCTGAAGCCCATTACTGGGGGGCTCCTCCTTCCAGGCCTCTGACTGCCCCCAGCTGTCCCTGTACTCCCTGGGAAGGCTTCTCCATGTTCCCTCCAGCATTCTGGCAGCCCCCAGGCTGGGCTCCCCAAGTCCTGGCCAGCCCTCAGGCCCTGGGCCTTTCTCGTGGTTGCTCCAACTTCTTTCCAAGTGTCTGTGAGAGCCCTGGGACCCCGTAAGCTCCTCCTGACTCTGCCACCCCCTCAGAGGCTGCTGGGAGTCTGCTCGGCTTCCTTTAGCAGGTCTCTCAGTCCGTGGCTCCCTCTCAGGGGGTCTGGCTAATGTCCTGGAGGGCGGTGAGGGGGCCTGGAGTCGCAGGTTACCCTCAGGCCGCCTCTCAAGACTCCGGGACCCAGGGGGCTCTGCTCTGCTCCGATGGGCGGCTGGTTCTGGCTGCTTGGCAGGGAGCTTGGTCACCTGAGGAACAGGTAGGAGGCGGGTGAGGCTCCCGGGACTGGGCTGAGTGGCCACTGTCTGTCTTGGCCAGGCCCGGGACAGTCGGCTATGTCCTCACAGTGGCTTGGATGGAGCAGACTGAATGAGCCAAGGCCTCTGGGGTTCTTCCCCTCCAGGGGGTCAGCTCTGCCCTCCCACCCATGTCCCCAGTTCCAGAGAGGGGCGTGCAGAAGCTGCTCACTCCCCGGCTCCCCGGGCTCCCCCTTCCCTGAGACACCGATTCCACCCTGGGCCATCGGGTGCCGGAATTTCCACCACCAATCCCCAGTTCCACTGGGGTGGGCCTCGCCCTCTTCGAGCTTCTTGGGAAACACAATCCCCACCCCGGACGGTGGGCGGTGCAGCCCAACCTTCTCCAAACAGCAGGGAGCTAAAGAAGAAAGGGCCAGCACCCAAGGGCTGTTGGCAGAGACTAATTTGGGTCATTTACATTTTACCGAGAGCTTCTGGCCCCTGAGGAGGGAGGAGGCCTGGACACTCGTGAATGGGACCTGACCATTTCACAGAGGACTGCCCTGCCCAGGACCCTGCCTTGCAAGGAGTGGGAGGAGGAGGCAGTGACTGCCCCTGGGACGCGACGGCTGGCAGTGCTCACCTGCCTGCTGGGGATGGGGCTGGAATGTCTTCGGTGAAGCTGGCTTTGACCTTGGCTGGGCCGCTGCGACCATCCCTCATCCCGAGCCTGGAAGGCCCCTGGTGCCTCGGACTTCCTAGGAGCGAATGCAGTTGCTCCTGAGGCCTTCAGGACCGTTCCACCCTCAGTGCCCCAGCCCCTCCCCTCCCACCCAGCGGGAGGAGATGTGGGGGGTCCAGAGACCCATGACAGCCCTAAATGAGGGTTGACCTTCTCAGGCCTCAGTCTCCCCTTCTGAGAAATGGGGCTGGGCAGTACCACCCTACTCTGCCAGGAGAGAAGCAGGGTCAGGCCTGGGCCACATCTCTCCTCTGTCGTGCTGCCCAACAGTCCACCAGCCACTCTAACAAAGGTAGACTGGCCCTTGTGGGAATTCAGGTTTACTGAGCACCTATTGTGTACCAGGCACTGTGCACACAATGTTTAAGCAAACAGTTTTTGAGCATTGAAAAGTAAGAACATCAAGCAGACTCTGGGCACATTTGTCCCCTCCCTTAGTAAGGAGGTCACCTCTGTAGACCCAGCCACTCCATGAATATTTTCATGGGGTTTGAGAGTCTGACTTCATTTAAATTGGCAAGCAGAGAGGGAGTGGGTGGGGACGGGGTGGCTCAGTAGCAAAGCATGTATTTAGCATGTTTGAGGCCCTGGGTTCAATCCCCACCATCTCAAAAATAAATAATGAAAATAAATTGATGATTGGAGTCATGTCTCTGGAGAGTGAGCTGAACTGGGAGGAGAGGCCTGAAAAGGATGAGCCTAGAGTGAAAAGGGAGGGGAGAGGAAGCGGGCCTCCCTGGGAGCCGCCCTGCAGCCTGCTGAAGAAGCCTGGGAGCGCAGGGGTTTTGCAGAGTCTAAAAAAATGCAGTTGGGGTTTGCTGGTCACGTGGCTTTTGCCAGTGTCATTAGAACCAGATCCACAGAGCAATTTGGGTTAGAATACACGCGCCCTCCCACCGAGCTGCGCCCAGGCTGTGGTTTGAGTTTTCTGCAGTTCTTAGCAGCTCACGCAGAGAAGAGCCCAGGTCCCCTGGAGAGCTTGTAAGCTGGGGCGCTCCCCATCAGGTTCACTTTTTAATGTAATTGGAGGTGCACGACTTTCCTTTCTCCTTGAGAGCCATAAAGGGGAGTTTTCTCTAGAACTGAGGTCTGGTGGCTCCGTGAAGCAAAGCCCCAGGCGTGACTGGTGGATGCGGCTCCCTCCTGGGAGGGAGAGGAGCAGGATAGGAAATGCCACACCAGGGAGCAGGGCAGAGCTGCCTTCTCTCCCCAGTGTGCATTTCCCAAACTTCACTTGCTAGATGGGCACTCCTTCCAGGAATTCTTCTTTCTTCCCCGTGAGACACTGAGAAGGACCTAGGGATTCTAGAACACTCTGAGGCCCCTACAGAGACTCAGCTTTCCTTATCAGAGGGGCCCCTGTTCCTGAGGGCTGGTGTGGCCACAAGGAGGAGGACTAAAAAGTTTCCTTTGGAAGCATAAATGGGCTCATCGACTTCCAAGTCATGAAGTCTAGCACAGAGAAGAAAGGCTCTGTTTTAAATTCAGGTGACAGCAAAACACACATATGGTTCTAAAAGAAAAGATTCCAGGGCTGGGGATGTGGCTCAAGCGGTAGCGCGCTCGCCTGGCATGCGTGCGGCCCGGGTTCGATACTCAGCACCACATACCAACAAAGATGTTGTGTCCGCCGAGAACTAAAAATAAATAAATTAAAAAAAAAAAAAAAAGATTCCAAAAGTATCTAAAGAAAAAAAGGTCAAGATATCAAACTAAAACTCCTGATGCTTTGATGTGATAGCCCTTCCAGAAAAACGTTCCAGGCTCAGAACAATGCTTAGACAGAGTAGATGCTCAATAAACACGGCAGGATGGATGAATGGGAGACAATAGAAGTACTACTCTACCGACACCCACCCACTCATAACTTCCAGTCTGTCCCTCACACAAATGCATAGTCTAAAAATTTGTCTTCAGGGGCTGGGGCTGAAGCTCAGTGGCAAAGTGCTTGCCTAGCGTGTATGAAGCACTGGGTTTGAGCCTTAGCACCAATAAAATAAAACAATTCTATCCATCTACCTACAATTTTTTTTTTTAATTTGTCTTCAGAAGACAATTGGCATTCCCTGTGGAAAAGTGCCACATAAGGGGAAATTTTACCCAGAAGAGTTATAAGACTTTGACCAAAAGGTAAATAATCTACTTTGAAGAGGAGCAGAATAAAATATGTAAGATTGTACAAGAATAACAAAACTGCTAATAAAAGGGCAAACAAATCCCTGATTTCTGTTATAAATCCCTTTCTCTCTCCAAAAGTCATTTCAGGGGGAACAAATTTGAAAGTTAACTTGGTTTAAAGATTTCAGAGTCTCTGGGCTATGGCTGTGGCTCAGTGGTAGAGCACTTGTCTCACAAGTGTGAGGCCCTGGGTTCGATCCTCAGGACCACATAAATAAAAAATAAAGGTATTGTGTCCACCTACAACTAAAAAAATAAAAATAAAAATATTTCAGTGTCTCTGTTGAATTTTCAATAAAACAGAGGTATACAAATTGGCATCAGTTGGGCACAGAGGCACATGTCTGTAATCCCAGCGAATTGGGAGACTGAGGCAGGAGGATTGCAGGTTCAAGACCAGCCTCGGCAAATTAGTGAGGCCCTAAGCAACTTATCAAGAACCTGTTTCAAAATTAAAAATTTAAAAGAGGTGAGGAGGTGGTAAAGTGCCCCTGGGTTCAGTTACAGTACCAAAAATAAATAAATAAATAAACAAACAAATAAATGCCAAAGAAGGAATGACACCAATGCTGGAGTCCCCAAAGGTTGTCACTTGGATATCAAATGGATCAAGTGTACTGGAAAAGGAAATTTGAAGAATAAGAGATAAGGTTTCTTGTGCAGGTTTAGATCTCAGAGAAATGTCTCAGGGACAGCAAAGAGGAATTTTAAGCACCAAATATTACCTAAATAATAGGTATTTAGGGGCTGGGATTGTGGCTCAGTGGTAGAGCCCTCGCCTAGCACAGGCGGGACCCGGGTTGGATCCTCAGCACCACATAAAAATAAAGGCATTGTGTTGTGTCCATTAAAAAAAAAAAAGGTATTTAGGGAGTGGGATATGTTTTAAACTAGGCTGTGGTGATGGCCCTACAACTTGGTAAATATGCTAAACTTCACTGGAAGTTCTGAGCTTCAGACCTGCTTTCCTCCCCCTAATCTCCTTGACCTCAACTAATGGAATTCTAGCTCTGGGCCTTGAAAACTCCGCAGCCAGCACTGCTGGGAAGGAAATCTCAGCCACCTAATGAGGGGGACAGTTCCCCTTCTGGCACCATTTGAAAGTTGAAAGTTAACTTGGTTTAAAGATTTCAGAGTCTCTGGGCTATGGCTGACCAAGGAGGTTCACACCTGGACTCCAGGCATTAGCATTATGTCCCAGGAAAATCATATGTAACCTCTGACCCTAACTCTAACCCTGACCCTAACCCTGCCAGTCTGTGAGCTCACTTATTTAAAACACGGGGCTTCTGGTTGGGGGTGTGGCCCCAGGTTGCATCCCCAACACTGCCAAATAAATAAGATAAAATACATGGCTCTGGCTGTACATTTTAAATGAATATCTCTGTTTTTGGAATTGCAAAAGGGCCTGTGAGTTTTCTTTGCTCCGTCAGAAAAGAATCATGTTCTTCCCCATGAAAGAGAGAAAAATAAATAAATAAATAAAACATCCCTGACTATGGGTCAAACAAAGTTCTGAGAATTTAATTTCATTAAATAAATGTGCTATTGCTCTCCCTCCTTTGACAGAAGAGGAAACTGAGGCTCACATGGGTGAACTCATGTTAGCAGGTCACACAGGATGTGAGTGGCTTGGACCCTGGATTTGAACCCAGCCTGCCTGACTCTAGTCTACATGCAAAAGCAGAGATAAAGTGCCTTGCCCAAGGTCACTCAGCCAGTGGACAGCAAAGCAGAAGGACTGGACCCTTGCTTCTGGCAACATAACCCTGAGTCCACCTGCCTTGCGCTCCACCTCCCGCAGGCCCCCTGGACGCCACTACCCACCCCGGGCTCACCTGCGCTCCTGCCCGAAGAGGCGCTCCACCTCTGCGCGGCCAGGGCTGCGGGTGCGGCCCCCGTGTGCCTGGGGTCCTGGCTCCCTCTGGGCCAGCCTCCTGGGCGGGGGCAGGTCAGCCAGCACGGTGTACTCCTCCCTTTCCAAATTGTGCCTGGTTTCCCAGGGGGCTGCCGAGCCCCGGGAGCCTCCTGAGCTGCCAGGGGGAGGTGAAGGCGCTAGGAGCGCCAGGTCGCTGGGCGGGTGTCGGGGAGGGGAGGACGCTCGGGGTGCATCTCGGTGGCCAATGCACACTTGTGGGGGCAGCAGGAGGGAGCCGCGCAGGGAGTCGGTGGAGGGGGCCAGACTCTCCATACTAGCCCCGGGGGGGTCCTGGAAGCACAGGGAGGGCTCGGGGGCCTGGCGGGGCGGCGAGGAGAAGGAGGGGGCATCCCGATGGCCGATGCACACGGGGGCGGGCCTGTGCGGGGGCTCGGGCAGAGAATCCGTGGAAGGGACGAGGCTCTCGGTGCTGGCCCTGGGGTAATCCTGGAGCAGGAAGGAGGGCTCCGGGAACTGGCGTGGCGGGGAGGAGGCCCGAGGCGCATCCCGGTGCCCAATGCACACAGGTGGGGGCAACTGAGGAGGGTCGTGGTGCGGGGGCTCCTTTTCGTTTTCGGTATCTGATGTGTCTGGGAGGAAGGGGAAGGGGTCGTACTGGGTGTGGCGAGGGGGCGCGGATGCCCAGGGGGCATCGCGGTGGCCAATGCACACAGCCGGTGGCAGGGGGGGCGGGTCATGGTGGGGCAACTCCATCTCAGAGGCTTGGGGGTCTGGGAAGAAGGGGAAGGGGTCGTGCTGCAAATAGCGGGGCGGTGAAGAGGCTCGAGGGGCATCTCGGTGTCCTATGCACACGGCACATGTTGGCTGGAAGGGCCCAGAAGAGAACTGGGGCGCCCCGCGGGCCCCAGGGTACAGAGGCGAGGACATGCGCCAGGCACTGAGGTGGCCAGGATCGTGGGTAGAAGAGGTGGCCCCCGAGGGCAAGGTGTGCTGGGAGGGGCCAGCAGAAGTCTGGGGTGGGTCCCGCTGGGCTGGTCTGGAGGGAGAGGAGGTCTGAGGCCTGTCACCTTGGGTTGGCCGGAGGGACACGGATGCCCAGGGCACCTCACTTTGCTTGGAGCGGGATGGAGAAGAGGATCGGGGGCCGTCACTCTGAGTTGGCCGGAGTGGGAAGGAAGCCCAGGGGATGTCTCTGTTGGTGCGGTGGGGAGAAGGATTCCCGGGACTGTTTCTCTGAGTGGAGCGGCAGGGAGATGGTGGTCCCGGGTTGTCCTTTGGGATACTGGTCTGAACGCTGGGAGTCCCAGGGCCGTCCCGCTGAACGAAGGAGGAGTGTGGGGAGTCCCGCTGGGTGCAGGTGCTCCTGAGGTGCTCCCACCTGGTACAGGAGGCTTTGGGGTTGGCTCGTTGGGCAGGAGAGATTCTGGGGGCGTTCTGTTGGACAGAGGAGGTTCTGGGGGTGTCCCGCTGGGTGGTTCTGCTGGGGGAGGAGGTTCTGGGGTTGTCCCATTGGGCACAGAAGGTTCTAGAGCTTTCCTTCTGGGTGGTTCTGTTGGGAGAAGAAGCTCTGGGATTGTCCCGTTGGGCACAGGAAGTTCTGGAGTTGTCCCTCTGGGTGGCTTTGTTGGGAGAAGTTCTGGGGGTGTCTCGGTGAGTACGGGAGGCTCTGGGGGTGTCCCGCTGGGTGGTTCTGCTGGGAGAGGAGGTTCTGCTGGGAGAGGAGGCTCTGGAGTTGTCCCGCTGGGTGGCTCTGCTCGGGGAGGAGGTTCTGGGGTTGTCCCTCTGGGTACAGGAGGCTGTAGGGTTGTCCCGCTGGGAGGTTCTGTTGGGAGAGGAGGCTCTGGGGGTGTCCCGCTGGGCGGTTCTGCTGGGAGAGGAGGCTCTGGAGTTGTCCCGCTGGGTGGCTCTGCTTGGGGAGGAGGTTCTGGGGTTGTCCCTCTGGGTACAGGAGGCTGTAGGGTTGTCCCACTGGGAGGTTCTGTTGGGAGAGGAGGTTCTGGGGTTGTCCCTCTGGGTACAGGAGGCTGTAGGGTTGTCCCGCTGGGAGGTTCTGTTGGGAGAGGAGGTTCTGGGGTTGTCCCTCTGGGTACAGGAGGCTCTGGGGTTGTCCCGATGGGTGGCTCTGCTCGGGGAGGAGGTTCTGGGGTTGTCCCTCTGGGTACAGGAGGCTGTAGGGTTGTCCCGCTGGGAGGTTCTGCTGGGAGAGGAGGCTCTGGGGTTGTCCCGCTGGGCACAGGATATCCTGGGGGTCTCCCGCTGAGAAGTGGGAACAGAAGATTGTGGGCTGTCCTGTTGAGTAGAGGTTCCGAGGTTGTCTTCCTGGGCAGCTCTGAGGGGAGAGGACAGTTGAGGACGGCTTCCTTGGGTGGATGAGGTTCCGGGGCTACCCCGCGGGCTTACTCTGGGGGGCAATGAGGTCGCCTGGGTGTTCCGCTGGGTGAAGGAGGCCCTGGGGGTGTTCTGCTGGGTGGAAGAGGGCCTAGGGTTGTCCTTCTGAGCGACTCGGTGGGTAGAGGAGGCCCGGGGGGCTTCTCGCTGTGCAGAAGCAGCCTGAGCAGAGGCCGGGGTGGTGGCGCTGTGAGGTCTGTGCTGTGGTGTCGCAGAGGAAGCCTGGGCAGGGGCTGAGTGCTGTCGCTCCAAGGAGAAGTACCCGCCTTCTCCCCGGAGCTTGGCCCAGTGCTGTGCGGCACAGCGGCTCCCAGCGCCCGAGTCTGGAGGGAGACGCAGAAGGTGAAGATGAGGAGGGCGCCAGGCCAGTCCCCACGCCCTATCTTTCTTTGTCCCCAGGGACCCACGATGGGGGCAGACCCTGCTCCCTCCATAAGGCTGGCTGGACCTCCCTCTCCTCTGGGGCTGGGATTTGAAATCAAAGCCAGGTTCGCTCGCCAGCAGGGGGCGCCAGGCCTGAAGCCACCGCACAACTCCCCGTCCAGTCCTGCTTCCTGCAGAGGGGGTTCCCGCGAGTTGCTCCGATGTCTTCTAAGGAGCCTCTTGTGTGTGACACTCTAGAGGGCTCCTGTTCCCTGTGCCTGCCAGCTCTTCCAGCTCCGGAGGCCCCGCCCAGCACTGGCTGTCTACAGGGAATCACAACCTCAGGCCCTGCCCCCATGTGCACAGTCAGCATTGACCAGATTCCAGACGACTTAGGCACCTCAGAGCTTCAGAAGCGCTGGTCTAGGGACAAATGAACTTCCCTCAACAGTCACCTCTTCCTGATCCCCAGGCCCACGATGGCATTGCCATGACCTTGGTGTCACCTCCACCCCTGATTCCTTGGCCACCAGCTGTGTCCTTGGGCTGGTGGTCAGGTGAGCAGTACTGTGGCCTTGTCTTGAAGGAACCACAACTGCCTTCCTGGACGTCCCCTCTCCTTTGCATTCAGCTCCGTCCCCTCCACCCTTGCTACGCGGGTGTCACCTAAATCTGGATCCCTAGCACTGCTGTTCCAGATGGGCTGATGCTCCCGGGCCATGCTGAGCGTGTCCAGACCCACCCGCTTCTCTCATCTCCAGCCTCCCCTCCACCCTGCCACCACCGTTCCTCGCCTGGGTGGTTGCAGTAGCACGGGCATGTGTTCTTTGGGTCCAATGTCACGGTTTTCCCCAGGGAGATCCTTTCCAAAGCAAAATGACCAGATCCCTCTGCTCACAGTTTTGCAGGGGAGGATGAAAGACCAGAAAGCTGTCCCAGAGAGGACACAGAGGAGACCTGGCAACTGATGCCATGTGGGAGGCTAGAGTGGACATAAAGGGCTACTAGAAGAGAAAAGAGAGGCTCCCAATGAAGTTGTAGTTTAGTTAATAGTGTCACACCCCAGCGTTCATTAATTAACTAATCAACATTTTTTGGTACCAGGGATTGAACCCAGAAGCACTTAACCACTGAGCCACATCCTCAGCCCTTTTTTATATGTTTTTAGAGACAGGGTCTCGCTGAGTTGCTGAGGCTGGCTTTGAACTCACGATCCTCCTGCCTCAGCCTTCCAAACTGCTGGGATTACAGGGAGGCACCACTGCACCCGGCTCTTTTCTTTTTTGTGCTGGGGATGGAACCCAGGGCCTTGTACACGCTGGGTGAGTGCTCTACCTACCTCCCCAGCCCTCGCTGTGTTCATTTCTTAATTCAGATCACTGCACTGTGGCCATATTCGATGCCAACATCCGGGGAACCGGGGCAAACGGCATAATGCACCTCTCATATCATCCGGGCAACTCTCGAATAAATTTTATTTTTTTTGGGGGGGTGCTGGGGATTGGGAACCCAGGGTCTTGTGCATGCAAGGCAAGCACTCTACCCACTGAGCTGTATCCCCAGCCAAATTTTTTTTTAAATTTTATTTTTTAGTTTTAGGTGGGCACAATATATTTATTTTATTTTTATGTGGTGCTGAGGATCGAACCCAGTGCCCGATGAATGCTAGCTGAGCGCTCTACCACTGAGCCACAACCCCAGGCCCTCGAATAAATTTAAGAGTATTTCAAAACAGGAAGTTATAAAGAGAGAGAGAGAGAGAAGGGGTAGAGAGGGAGAGAAAGACAGAGAGAAGGGCTTCCTACTGCATTTGAAATAAAATCCCCAATTTCCGCCACCAGGCTGGCTCTGCCCCCCCCACAACGGCAGCTTCCGCACCTGCCTACCTTTGGGTTCCTGGAACACACCACAGACACCTCACCACCCCAGCTCTTGCTGCTGCCTCTGCCTGAAGCACGCCCCTCTTCACCTGGCTGGTTCCTTCAGGTGCCCCTGTCACCGGGAGCAGCCCTGAGTCGCCTCCTCACATGGTCTCCTTCACTTGGTCCCCGGCTCCCTCCCCAGCAAGCTCTCTTCAGGAAGGGCCTTGCCCTCGGGATGGGGCTTGGAAAAGCGCTCAGCACACAGTAGGTGCACAGTACACACTGTGCTGCCACCTCCAGCTCTAGCTGTGCTTGGGCCTGGGGTCCCTGTCCTTTGAGAGTGGGCACTGGCCGAGCTGCCCCTGCAGGGGGCCCAGCTCCTTCCCACCATCTGAAGCAGCCCCGCGCCTGGCCCTTCCAGGACCGCCCTCACTCCCACAGCCCTTAGTGATCACAATGGGCTAGGCGCCTGCGTGTCCGTCCTCCGCCAGGTGGGCTCTGTGTCACCTGCCCACCTGGTGAGCTCTGCAAACAGGCAAGAGCTCAGAGAGTGGAGGGCGGAGCCCTCAGCATCCCAGAGTTGGCCAAGTCCTGGGCCTTAGCCCCTGGCCTGCCATTTAGGAAGATGCCACCAGGTGGACAGTGGTGTCCACTTCTGATGAAGTTGGGCACAGAGCGAGGCTGCCCACCCATGTTGTAAGGTGGGGTTTTTTCTTTTTTTTTTTTAGTACCAGGGATTGAACAGAGGGGCACTTAGCCACTGAGCCACATCCCCAGCCCTTTTTATTTTTATTTTGACACAGGGTCTTGCAAAGTTGCTTTGGGCCTTGCTAAATTGCTGAGGCTGGCCTTGAATTTGTGATCCTCCTGCCTCAGCCTTCCTAGTTCCTGGGATTACAGGTGTGCGCCACCACATCCGGCCTACAATCTGTTTAGGAGCAAGAAACCAGGGGCTCAGTGAAAACCCCCACCTGCCCTTCCAGGACCCCTGGCCCCCATGGGGCCAGGACTGCCCACTGGAGCTCAAATGCAGATGCTCTGGCCCCCTAACCTCAAATCCTGTCCCTGCTGAAGACAGAGACAAGGAGACACAGAGCAGTGGCGATCAAGCGAGGGCTCAAACTCTGGGATTCAGCATCCTGGGCACGTATTCTGGTGAGCACGGCCCCTATGGGCTCAGCCTGATGACAGCCTCTCCCCTCTCTGGTAACAGTCATCCTCATTTCTCTCCTTTCCCCATATCGAAGGCCATGAGGTTCATCAGAAGCTGACCCTGGTCACCAGGTGGGCACATCCTCCATCCTGAGTCCCAGCGAGAACCCTTCCTGAGACTAGCCTCAGGTTAGAGAAGACTGGACCCTCCTTCTAAGGAAGCTGATGAGCTGGTGGGACACACCTAGCACAGCGGTGGCCATCATGCCAGGGTCAGGGGAGGGTCTATCTAAGGATGGAACCACCTCAGAAGAAAGCCGAGCAGAGGCCAGTTTCCTGATGCTGCTGAACACCTGGATCCAGCCATGCCTGAAGTCACACCCCTGAGGTTTTTTATTTATGTGAGTCATTCCATTCATGTCCAACCAGTTTCTTTCCTTGCAACTTACGGATCCCAACCTGGTTGTGAAATGATGTATTTAAATCAGGCAGCCTGCCCATCACGGTTGTCCCTAATTCCACAGAAACTTTACTATTATTAGGACTCAGGTCACCAAAGTAAGCCCTGCCCGTGGCCCATTTGCCAGTGAGGTGGCTATCTGGGGAACTCCAGGTCCTTACCATGTCCATGGTCACAGGGACTAGCCTGATAGAAGGACTCACCATCCTTTTTCTGGCCTGCAGTGTCTCCTCTTGTAGGGGACCTGGTGACCCTTCGGGCACCTTCGGCTCTTTGCCCCTCCTGGGGCCTCTGCGGGATCATCGCAAGCAGGTCCCAGCTGGGGACTTCCGCCCACCTCTCAACAGTGTCGAAGTCCTACCAGGAAAAGGGAGGACAAAGCTGGATGGGGGGGAGGTGGCCCCGGCCTGCAGTCCCAGCACAAGACGCCAAAGGAACTGACCTTGAAGGTGCCCACTGAGTGCCCTCACCGACCTCCCACCAACCCCCCACCAACCCCGGCCAGCAGGCAGCCAGAGAGCCCAGAGTCTGTCCAAACCCTCGCAGCCAGGAGATCCGGGTTCAGATCCCAGCCCTGTCACTTCCCCTCTGTGTGGCTCTAGTGGCCATGACCATCTCCAGGACAGAGGGAGGTGGAGTCCGCAGCCCGGGCCACCTGGGGGGCACCGGCTGGGGTGTTAGGCTGAGCCTGTCACTCCCCGCCAGGTTCCTCTGAGGGAGGGTCTCATGACAGGCCAGCCTCCTCTGCCCCCTGACGGCCCCTCCACCGGAGAGCTTGAGAGGACTCCAGGCCTGCTCCCGCACCATTGGAGGGGCCCAGTCCCTGCCAGGACGATCCCTTCCCTGTCCTTGGAAACCAATGCCAAGAGTGGCCATGGGCTCAGCAGCTGTGACCAGGGCCCAGCCCCAGGCCTGCTCTGGACACAGCGCCCACATCCCAGCCCTCTGGGACTCGAGAGGCTTTGGCAGCCTGGGCGGGCGGGTGACTCACCTGAGCCTAGTCAACCACCTTTGTCCCCACCGCCCCAGGCCCAGCGGCCGGGAGACCCTCCCAGTTCCTGCTGTGAGGCACCGGCTGGGCTCAGGGGGTAGATCCTCTCTTGTCCCCTCTGTCTCCAGCCCCCAGCTCACCACAGAGGATGACCTGCTGGTGTCATGGGTGGAACTGCCAGGGCTCCAGCTGGTGTCAGAGTTGGGGTCCTCGTAGCAGCTGCCACTCGGGGAGGGGGCCAGGCCCTCCAGATAGGGCACTGCCTCCAGCTCCTGGTGCCTGCTCCTGGGGGCAGCTTTGGGGTCCTCCTCAGGAAGCCCTGCTGTCAGGGACAGGCCCCTGGGACAGGAGACACTCATGACTTTCCCCCAAAAAGTAATAGGGAGTTAGGGAGCACTCCTCCGCCCAGATGCACACGAGAACACACTCTACAGGGGCCGGGGATCTGCTGTCACTGCAGAACAGGGAGCCACACCAAGGGCCTCATGAGCTGTGCGATGACAGCCTCCCTTTGAAGTACAATGATTCCCATTTTATAGATGAAGGAAATGTGACTCAGAGAGGTCAAGATATTGGCCACGGTCACACAGCCAGAAAAGGACAGAGCTGGATTGTGAACCAGGACAATTGCCTGGGATCCAAACCCTTGTCACCAGAGCAGGAGTGGGGACTCTAGGCTCAGTAAGAATAAGACGATAGACTCATGCTGGACTAATGCGGGGAGGTGGGAGACTGTGGGGCAAGAGCTGCAGAGAAAAATCTTGCTTTAGAGAAGCCAGTCAGGGCAGCCACGGACCCAAGGAGGCATGTAGCTGATGTCTTTCAAGATGGGGACACACAGATTGACCTACAGGCTGGTAATGAGTGATGACCCCAAAAGAGTTCTATAGTCAAGTTTGGGACAGAACACATGTCTCTGCCTCCCGCACCCAAACCCACCCCGTACCCACCATGCAGATGCATGCCTACAAACTAAAAGTCCTGCTGAGAAAGCATTCGACTTCCCCTATCCCAGGGTTTCTGAAATGTATTTGAAAGCCGGGCTTTTCTTTAAAATAACGTCTTGGGGTGAGGGATGTAACTCAGCAATACAGCGCTTCCTCAGCGAGGGCCGAGGACCATAAAAAATGAATGAATAAGTAAAAGTAAAGCCTACTGTGAGGAGCACATGTTTCCAAGCAAGGCCATTTGATTCTGCACGGTGAGTGTGTGGGTGTGTGTGCGCGCGTGCACGCACGCACACACACTCAGTGCTGGGATGGAACCAGAACTTCACACGCGCTGGGCCAGCACCCTACCACTGAGATGCGCCCAGCCCTGACCTGTCCCTCTTATTTTACAAAGAAAGTGAGGCCCAGAGAGATGGACCAACTTGCCTGAGGTCCCACAGCCTCTGAGGGACAGACCAGAAGCTGGGACCCAGGTTTCTGGATCCTGAAGTCATGGCCTCCCCAGGTTCCATGACCCCATACGGGGAGTTCAGGGGAGTCCAGGTGAGCGCAGGCCTGGGTGGAGGGAATCGAGAGACTGGCGCAGTGCACAGCCAGGAGGGAGGGTGACAGCTGGTACCCCACTAAGCGCAGGCCTCCTCTGCATGGCCGCTGCCCCCTGGAGAGAAGCTGAGCTAGGGAACTAGCGAGTGGGTAGCACCCTCAGGAAAGACAGCCAGGGCTGGGGACAGTAGGCTCAGAGACTCAGGACCCCAAAGGGACAGTCTGATCCGAGTTCTCCTGTGGGGCTGAGGTGCATGCCTCCTGCCTGCCTGTGCCCAGAGCATGGACTACCCACGTGACCCCCTTCAGCAGCATCAGGCAGACGCTGTCCCCGTGGAAAGCGCAGGAGGGGTAGGTGAGGCCACCCTACCCCAGGGAGCCCTTCCCTGGGTCCTTGGGCTCTACCCACCTCTTGGGCCCCTGGCCCACCGCAGACTGGCAATCTGAGGTGGAGGTGCTGAGCGGGTCCTCAGGGGCTGGCGGGCAGCGGGGCAGGTCGTAGTAGGGCGCCTCAACGCTGGAAGAGCTCCCCAGCTCCTGAGGCAGAGCAGGAGAGAGACTGGCTCAGTGCCTCCCGCACGGGGCCACGGGGCGGGTGGGTTTCAGCCATGTCCTCAGGGAGCGCCTGCTGCTGCACGAGGCTGCCCCTAGGGACCCGGCTGGGGCTGGCAGGGCCTGGGGTGTGTACACAGCGGGCCTAGGCTCAGGTGCCGAGTTCTAAGGTGTGTGTGTGGCGTGCGCACATGTGCATGGGACTCTTGAAGGTGTGTGCGCGCACAGAGCGTTAGGGGCGCAGGGCGTGTGCTTGTGTGAGCGCACGCAGGTTCATTCAGGGGTGTTTCAGTGCGTGTGTGTCTGAGAAGGCAAAGTGACCCAAAAGGGCCTCTGGTGGCCAGAAGGCAGGTGCACGATGCCTGGCCTGGCGAACAGGGAGAGGTCTGTGGGGAGAAGAGCCGAGATGGGAAGCAGATCTCAGAGGAGAGAAGAGATTTGCCCTGCTCAGGGCCAGGCAGGGGCTCAGGACAGGAGGCTGGGGCCCCAGGTGTGGTGAAGGCCATGGCCCTCGTACTCCTCTCCCCTCCTGGCCTCAGCACGGCCACACCTGGGCCCTGGAGCTGGGCTCACCCAGGGGGAACGGTGGCGGCTCGCCTCCACTAGGGCCCCCCCAGTCCTCTGGCTGCCTGGAGTGGCAGGGCCTCCCCTGGTGGTGGGACACCCGGCCATGGCACCCGTGCCCCGCCTCCTCTCGGGTTACCTGGGCAGCGGCTCCTGTGGTAGCAGCAGAGGCTGGCGGCTGTCAGCACCCTCGTCCCCGGGGGGCTCCAGCTCGGGCCCCCACACTGCCGCCCTCCTGGCCCGACTCTGGGCCGTGGCGGCAGCAGCAGAGGCAGCGGAAACCTTAGAGGGGCCGGCCGGGAGCAGGGGCCCCTCATTACTGTTTCATGAGCCAGGGCCCAGCCAAGAACAATGGGGCACATGAGACCCAGGAACCCGATCCCCGTGGCTCACCTGAGAGCCAGGGCGGGTGGGAGCCTGGGCGGGGCTCCCTGGGGACCCTGGGACTGGAGTCCAGGGCAGAAGCTGCGGCCTGATCAGTGCCCCAGGTGGGCACAGGCTTTCCTGGACCCAGGAAAGTCACCCCCAGCAGGGCCTGGGAGTGCTGAGGTGTCGGCTGCGACTCCAGCCAGAGGAGGCCGAGGGGATCAGTTTCACCCCCTGCCCCGCAGCCAGATTCTGATCTGATCAGCGCTTGGCAGCAGGAGGTGTCAGATCCACAGCCGGGCCCGGCGCCTTGGCCACCCAGGGGACAGCGCAGCAGGAAAAAGAGGGAGTGGCTTGCTGGACACTACCCAGGGTCCTGGTTCAGCAGCCCCTCCAGTCTGGCATGGCACCTGCTCCCACTTTCACCCCAACTGCCACCCACTGCCCACTCACTGCCCACTCCCCAGGCCGGCAGGCAGTCCCCACTCTGACTACTGTCTGGGGGTCAGCGCGGGCTTCAGTCTGAGACCTGCGTCCTGTCTGGGCTCCTTCACTGCCCAGCCAATGGCCTCACCAGGGCCTTGTCTCTGTAGTGCAGGCAGAGGGAGGCATGCCCAGGATCATGGCCATGATCTGCCCTCTCTGTGCCTCAGTTATGTCATGCAGAACTGGCCTCAGCCACGTCCTAGGGGCTGCCAGGAGAATTAAATGAGTTAATATCTGTAAAGGGCTCATCTGCCCTTTCCCATCGTAAGTTTAATAACAATGAAAGAGCATTAAATAAACTGTAGACGCAGGCAATTGTCAGAGTAATGCTAAATGCAATCAAGACTCTGTGGAAGGGCAGGACTCGACCACCCAGCCACCCACCTTCCACTGCCTGCCGCCCCGCACCTGGCTGTGACCTGGACAAGGTCATGTGACCCCTCCCCTGGCTCCCAGCCTCTGGGAGACTCAGCTGTGAATAGAGAGGGACAGGAATCCGGAGCCAGGGGCCTGTGGGAGCTGGATTCCAAGGACTCCTTGTTGACCATTTGGTCAGCAGTTGGTCATTCTTGGTGATGATGGGGACACCCTGGGACATGGCCATTGACACCTATTCTAGAGTGGCTGAAGATGTCAGAGTGGACCTGGCCCTGCGTCTCTGTGCCCACTGTGAGTAGAAGTCTGGCAGGAAACTTCAGTCCCTCAGACTGGAGGCGCTTTCTAACAGAGGCTTTTCCGTTTCACATGTTTGAAATCTCAGGGGCCATGAGGTTTGTTTGTATTTTGTTTTGTTTGGTGCTGGGGATGGAATCCAGGGCCTTGCACATGCTAGGCAAGAGCATCCCCAGTTCTTTATATTTTTATTTCTTCATTTTGAAACAGGGTCTTGCTAACTTACCAAGACCGGCCTTGATCCTCCTGCCTGGGTCTCCCAGGTAGCTGGGATCCCAGGCATAGTCATTTTAAGGGGTCAGTTTTTCCTTTTACATCTGCTACACAAGAATTCTGTCCTCCATTGAGCTGGGTCCCACGGCCGGGCTCAGCCCTGGGAGGCTCAGGGGAGTTTCACACCTTGGGGTCTCGTCATTGGAGCAACTGGAAACTAAAGGATTTGGTACCAGTACCCTTCTCTGGTCATGAAACCCACTCTACCTGTGGCTGCTGGGAGGAGGCCACACTCTGGTGTCTGCCTCCCATCATGGGCTGCGTGTCTCTGTCCTCCGGGATTCTCCGCCTCCTGTTACCTGGGGCTAAAAGCTGATTCAGTGGCCAGAGCTTGTCTAGAAACAGCTGTGTCCTGGCCCTGGGGGCCTCTCCTCTTCCCACCCCATACTCTGCCCAAGACTTTTGCTGGAGCCAGACCCCAACGATGGGCACGGCTCCATCTCCTGCTGCGGTCTGACGCTAAGTGCAGCCCTGGTCCTCAGCAGCCTCCCGTCTCCACCGTGCCTGCAAGTGCCCCACTCACCAGGCCCCAGCAGCTCCACGCAGACCTCCACCCCAAGTAGCTGCCCACAGAAATAACGAGGGGTCAGCCAGGGCTTCTCTCTCCCCCACACCCAGATTATCAGCTAGTTCTCCAGTGCGTCCTCTGTCACCACCCCAAAGCCCCGTCCTCTCTGGCACAAATGGGTACTCGCACATTTTCCTCACTGGTCCCTGATTCACTCCTGCCTCTCAGTACTTCATTCTCTGCCCAGAAATCACAGTGACTCTGAAAAATGCAAATCGAATAACATTCATTGTCACTTTTTTATTTAAATTCCTCAGTGAATCCCATGACTGTCTGAACAAAATCCAAAAATCCTCAGCTTGTCCACAAAGCCACATGAGGCCCCACCTGGTGAGACAGAGGCTCCGCCCGTTTTCCATCCAGCTTCATCCTGTAGCTTCAGTGTCCCTCCCTCTCACCACTCTCCAGTCCACCAATGTGCCTCCTCCTTTCTGCCTCAGGGCCTCTGCACATACAGTAGTACTACTGTCTTCCTCTGCACTTCCCCAACTTCGATGGCTAATTCCTGCAAGCCTACCCCTAGCAGCCAAGTGTCACCAGGGAAACCTTCCCCATGCGCCATCATTTACCCTCTGCCACTTGCTATTACTTATGGCACTTATCACAACCATGACTAAATAATCACGTGCAGAATTTCTGACTCTCCATTTCCCTGACTATCAGCTACACAAAGCAGGAATATGACTGTCTTACTTATCACTATGTCCCAGTATCCAGCACCATGGCAGGCACATTTTACGCACTTATTCAATATGAATAAATACGTGAGTATTTGCTGAGAATAGGTGAGGTTGATGCTGGAACTCACACCTGTCTGAATCCACACTGGCGTCTCCCCACCCACTGGGAGGAGGTCACTAGCATGGGAGAAGGACTTACAACACTTTTGTGCATCTGTTGTCCTCAGGGACAAGGTGGCAGCTGTAGCTGGAGGTATGGAGACTGGTGTAAAGGAGCCTCCAAGCTTACCTCTCTGGTCAGGAAGGGGGTAAAGAAGAAACTGCAGGTACTGAATGGGCATAAGTACTGGCAGCGATCCAGAGTGAGGAGCCTGCTGCCCCCACGGACCCAGGAGGACAGTAAAGCCCGAGAACGTAAAGGGCCCAAGGCCGCACAGCCGTTAAATGGTAACCCCAGGACTGCGCCTGCAGCCTGCTGGCTCCCAAACCGAAGAGTACCCTCCACTGCGGCCGCTTTCAGATCTCAACCCCTGCAAGAAGCTCGCTGCCAGGCTCAGGAGGAGCCTCAGACCCCACAGGGAATGACGACGTCAGAGGGGGTCAAGGCTGGAAGGGCCTCTGGAGATCCAGGAGCCCCACGCCTCCCGGGGTGTGTGTGCCAGGCGCTCTGGGATTACCGTACAGGGGCTTGGCATCGGACACACCAACCGCACAGTAAGAAAACCAAGACTCTTTTGCTCTCACAGCAGCTTCAGGAAGAAAGTCTTCGGCAGGTTCTGGGGTAGTTTTAACACCCAATATCTGCTAACCTGCCTTCTTTTTTGGGGGAGGGTACCGGGGATTGAACTCAGGGGCACTCGACTACTGAGCCACGTCCCCAGCCCTATGTTGTATTTTATTTAGAGACAGGGGCTCACTGAGTTGCTTAGTGCCTTGCCATTGCTGAGACTGGCTTTGAACCCACAATCCTCCTCTCAGCCTCCAGAGTCACTGGGATTACAGGTGTGTGCCACACATCGGGTTAGGCCCTGGTCTTAATTTCTTATTTGTGGTGGTGGCGTAAAGTTTTGTCTCATATAAGTGAAAAAAAGATGTTGCTTTTGGGGTTGGGGTGCAGCTCAGAGGTAGAGCTTGCACAGGGCCCTAGGTTTAATCCCCATTATCCCCCCACAAAAGATTTTAATCTAAGGAACAATAAGTAATAGATTAGATGAAGCTATAGTAAAAATCAAAAACTGGAGGAAAATGACTAAAGATTTTAAAACATCGACATGGTTCAGCCACCTCATTGTATCAACAGGTAAACTGAGGTGCTGGCCAGAAGGAAGCATTTGGGTTCAACTTCAAGTTCATGGCCCAGCCATTGTGATTCCCCCATCCCAAACCACCCCAGCCACCCAGGAAAGCCAGCTCACCTGGTGTCTTGCTCCATGGGCCTCCTCAGGGTGGAGGCAGTTTTGACAGCAGCTCTGGGTAAGCATATTGGCCTCGAAGGGTTCACAGGAGACCTTCTCAGCCTCATGCTCCATATTGGGTGAGCCAGGCCAGGGCAGCTCCTGTGAGCCACCGGCTGACCTTCTAGAAGGGGCCTGGGGAGAAAGGGGGGGTAGTTCAAGGACCAGATGACTGACTAGCCATCCACTCAGACCCTAGCCCCAGTGTCTCCAGGCCAGACGAGGACCAAGGATCCATGGCTATCCATCCACTCATGTTCATTTATTCACTCAGTAAACACTCCTCAATCCCTAAGCACCCAGGCACACTGCCAAGTATTTGACATGTGAGTTTTTAGCCCTCACTACAGTGTTGTTCAAAGTGTGTTCCAAGGACCCTACGTTACACAATCCTGGTCTGCTCATAAAGAAATACAGATTTCCAGCTGCTAAAGAGGCCAAGGCAGGAGGCTTGCTTGAATCCAGGAGTTCAGGATCAGACTGAGCAACATAGAAAGACCCCTGCCTCTTAAAAAAATGCAGATTCCCTATTCCTTCTCCTGATTCACTCAGTCAGAATCTCCAGGAGGTGAGGCCTGGGGGTATGTCATTTAAACAATTCCCCGTGGGAGATTCCAGCAAGCACCCCCAAATTTGAATACTTTTTTTTTATAGCAATCCTGGCATTGCAGTTCAAATTCATGCTAATTTCAGATCGGACAACTAGAGCTCAGAGAGGTTCCCTGACAGGCAAGGTGATGTGGCTGAGCGGAATTCAAATCCAGGTCAGTGTGCGCCCACTCTCTTGGAGGTGGAAGCGAGGGGCCCTAGGGTCACACTGACAGCTTACACAGTTCACTTGGGAAACACAAGGAGAGGCAAAAGGCTACCCAAGTATTTTTAGGGTTGAGGACTAAGTCTTAAACAAAAGTAAACAGCCTAAGATTACACAGCAAGTTTGTGACAGAGCTTAACGGGAAAGAAACCCTGATGCTTTGACCTGAGCCCAGGGCTCCAATGTTCAGCCTCTGGAAACAAAGCTGGGTCAGGAGAGGGATTGGAAGAAGCCCTCCCCTCCGGTAAGGAGACCAGGATGGCAGGGGTGACATCTGACTCCAAACACACAAACACCTTAAGGCTCCCCCTGCCACCCCATACTTACCGGACCTGGTGACTTTCCTCCAAAGCTCCCAAGGGATCAGGCCTTTGTTGTCAATCTCAGCTGAGAGCTGTGGAATTTCACGTCTCCACGGGGGCAGCAGGGGAAGGCTCCATCTCTTCCCCAGGAGAGAGGACCGCAGAGGGGACAGGGTGGGGCACCCACTAGCCCGCCCGTGGCATCGGAGCCTCGGATCTTCACGAGGCAGAGGCAGTCATCTCCCCGCCTGGCTCCCTGTTGCCGACGGTGGACAGATGCTCAGCACCACCTGGGCGGTTCTTTCCCGGTTGGTCCACATAAAGGAGTACCGCCTTGGACGGAGAACGCCATTCATTTCCCTGGGGGCGGGGTGGGGGGCTCTATTCCACGTGCCCCCAGCTGCTCCCGTTCTCCCCTACCCTCAATCAGTTGGCAAAATCTTTCTCTAAGATGCACTTTAGATTTAACAACGAAACCATAAGTGGCCACGCCTGCCCCACCCGGAGAATGGACCCCTGGACCTCTCTCCATCCATGCCGGCAGCCAGTTCCTCCCGCATCTCTCAGCCCCCTTCCCCTCCCTAGCAGCCCTTTTCCACCGCTCGCTCGCCGCTCACCTGGGCTCGGGTTTCCACGCACTGGGGCTGCGGGGGTGCGAGTACCAGAGTCACGGCCCTTACATTTTAACAATGAATCAAAACGCTGCTGGGCGGTGGTAGGCTCGCTCTCAGAGCCTCATTTACATGAAGGCCGTGGGATTGGACCAGCCGAAGACGAGGGGCGGGGCGGAGGCGGGCGGTACCCCGCAGCCTCGGAGCGCGGGACTCGGCACGTTCTGCCTGGGCAGCAGCATCCCCTCCCAGGCGCGGTTCCCAGGGGGCCCACGAAGCTGGCACGGTGGATCTTCTCTTTGGTTTATTCAGGCCACAGTGCCCTAAGCCGACTTTAGCCGAGACTTCACCTCTCCGCCTGTTTTTGGAACAGGATATGTAATAGTACATAATGAGAATGAAAACAGTTTGCACGTGGCTCGGGAGGCTGAGGCAGGAGGATCCGAGTTCAAAGCCAGCTTCAGCAAAAGCAAGGCGCTAAGCAACTCAGTGAGACCCTCCTGTCTCTAAATAAAATACAAAATAGGGTTGGGGATGTGGCTCAGTGGTTGAGTGCCCCTGAGTTCAATCCTTGGTACCACCCCCTCCACCCCCCATCCCTCATCTAACAACAACAACAACAACAAAAAAAAAAAAAACCCAAAAAACTGAAGTGTATCAGAATAGGCACCCAGTAAATGCCAAACAGATGCACAGAACTAACACAGCATCGCAGTTGTGGCCTCGGGGACCACTAAACATCCCTGCAGGAAGGCTTCAACCTCCACTCCATATTTCCACCAACTGGAGCTCAGGCCCTCCCCACTTTGACGCTGACCTTTGATCTGTACTGTCTGCACGCAGGCTCCTGCACCATGCCCTGACATTCAAGAAGACAGTGTCACCTACCAAGGAGTCCAAGGAGGTCCTGGAGAAGGGGACCTCAACGCAGGATGTTGTCCTTGACATAGTGACTGAAAAGAGTTGTCAAGTATCAGATATGAAGGTACAGAAAGTTACTTAGGAAAGCAAGGAATTCATGTTCAACAGAGAATTGGGGATGTGTGGGGGGAGAGCAATGTGTGCTTTTGGGATCTTAGGCTCTTCTTTTAAAGGAAACCTGGCGAGGGGTGTGGTGGGAAGATTCATGGGGACATCAGCCTGGTGATGACAAGACTGATGGTGGTGGCAGTCTGGCACTTTCAGGACTCTTAGATTGGCGTCTTCTCCACTATCTGATCAATAGATAGCACTGGGAAAGTGCCCCAATAGCAAGTTTTGTTTCTCTTTTTTCTCAATCTATTCTAAAAATACCTATATCTGTGGATAATTAATAGTGCACAGGGAAATTTTCAAAAGTGAATAAATTCCCAGTGACTTCACACCTACAATCCCAGCTACTTACAAGTTCAAGGCCAGATTCAGCAATTTAGTGAGATCCTGTCTCAAAACTTAAAAATAAAGGGCTGGGAATGTAGTTCAGTGACAAAGCACCCCTGGTTCAATCCTCAGTACAGGAATAAATACACAAGTAAAAGACCACCGTGAAGATTTGTAGATTTTCCAGAAATGTGGGAGTGACAGGCCTGGTAGAGAGAACTAGCTTGGGGATAAAAGGTACGAACTTTGGCACAAGTCCTTCAGATTAGAGATATAATGTCCTTTTTCTTTCTTTTGTCTCCTTTCTACCTTTTAAAAATAATCTCTGGCTGGGTGTGGTGGTGTATGCTTGTCATCCCAGTGGCTTGGGAGCTTAGGCAGGAGGATATTGAGGTCAAAGCCAGCCTCATCAATTTAGTGAGGACACAAGCAACTCAGGGAGACCTGGTCTCTAAATAAAATATTAAAAAATGGGTAGGGGGTCCTGACTGTGGCTCAGTGCTAGAGCGCTTGCCTAGCATGTGTGAGGCACTGGGTTTGATCCTCGGCACCATATAAAAATGAAAACATAAAATAAAGGTATTGTGTCCATCTACACCTAAAACAAATATTTAAAAAGGGGGGTTTGGGGATGTGGCTTAGTGGATTCAACCCCACTATCCAAAATCAATTCTACCTCAATAGTTATTGCAGGGTGACCAGCACCCCTCCAGGGTAGGTTCCTGATCAGGAGGTGTGAGCCACCTGGGCATAAAAGTCGGAAATAGTTAGTAAGAAATAGAGATGGAACCAGATATTAGATATAAGAAGAGGAGCATCTGGACGAGGTTTCAGTGGGAGGAACGGTGGGGTTTGGTGCTTGCTTCTCCATATGGCAGGGTCTTGTAGTAAACAGGTTGATTGGCATTTTGGCAAGCCACACCCACCTCCAAGAGGCTGTGTGGCTCCAGCGGGTCACCCCATCTCTGATGCTGTGCTGAATTTGCAGTGGAGCTGGGTAGGAAGCCACATGAACCAGGCGTTCTCTCAAACCAGCCAGGTTGCTACTGGGAGTTCCAAATACAAGGCTTTCCTCCTAATGGCTTCCAGATTGCTGTAGTTCATGCACATGGCTCAATTCACATATGGGTCATGGATGGCTTCCAGCCAATATGCACCTGAAGGACTAAGTACTAAGGTCCCCATTTCACAGCCACTGAAGATCAGCGAAGTTAACTAACTTGCCAGTATCACACGGTTAGTAAGTGGCAGAGCCAGGCCTAAAACCCCTGTGAGTCACCACAGATCATCTTCACTTCCTGATTCATCAGACCTTCGCCTGTGACTGGAACATGCTAGGCCACCACGGAGGGTACAGGGGAGAGGAGAGAAGAATAAAATGTGACTCCTTCCAAGGTGAGGGGCCTCCTGATCAGTGAGAGAAACAGAATCCTGAATGGGTCATCCTGGCCCAGCATGGAACTGGGTAAAACACACCCACTTAACAAGGGCCACAGGCTTCCTGCCTGGTCCCTCTTACTCCAAGCAAAACAGAGGCTAGAGAGACCCCCCCTCAGGAAGTGCTCATCTCCCCCTCGCGCTTCCTGGCTGGAGATCTTGAAGAATGGGACTTGCCTCCTCTGAGCCTATGGTGCTTGGGTTGAATTTGAAGCACAGGGTGTGGCCTCGGCTCTCTGCCCCCACCCACAAGCAAAACCTAGAGCCAACTCAAGGCAGCAATGAGGACAAGTCATTTATTAAATATTTACGGATCGCCTTTGTCAGTTATCAGGACAGTCTGCAAACAAAGGCTCAATCTGCTTCTCTGGTGCAGAGAAGGGCTTTTAGCAATCCAGTGACAGCAGCCCTCCCCTTGCAAAGCCTCTCTCTTGCTATACATGGGCATGCTGATGCCCATGCTGTCCAGGGCACAGGGAGAACAGCCTTGTTCCCATTTTATCATAGAGACAGGGAAGGCTTCTTGGAGGCGGTGGCCCAGAGGCAGGGAGGGTGAGCAGGGCTGGGACCAAGGCTGCGAGCAGCCTGTATCTTCTGAGGGCTCCTAGAAGCGGGCTGCTGGCTCCCGGACCGCCTATCGGTCAGCCCTCTCCAAGCAGGCAGCAACCTGGGTGAGCCAGAGCACCCTCCCGCACAGCCAAAGGAAGGTCAGCACCTTGAAGTTGGGAACCCTGGAGGAGACAGAGGCCGAGGCCACCCTGACACAGGGACCCTCTCTTCCAGTTCCTGACCCACCTTGCCCACAGGGAGCTCAGGCCACCTCAAAAGAACCTGCTAGAAGAGATTCCTTCCCTTAGTGGGCTGAGCCAAACTCCCAGGAACCACGGCCATTGCTCCTCGTTGTCCCAGAGCAGGGCCTGCCGAGGAGGGACCTGAGGGAGGGTAATGTCTGCAGATCCCCATCACAGCCTTGAACATTTGGCTTTGGGGGTAGAATCTTCTGGTTGCCAACCAACTCCTCTTCTCCTATTAGTAACATAATCCTCATATATTTTATTTACTTTTGTACTGGGGACTGAACCCAAGGGTGCTCTTCTGCTCTGCCACTGAGCTACATCCCACTTCTATTTTTTTGAGACAAGTTCTCACTAAATTGCCAAGGCTGGCCTTGAACTTGATTCTCCTTCTTCAGTCTCCCATATTGCTAGGATCACAGGTGGGTGCCACCCCCTGTAATCCCCAATTTTTTTTTACATGTACTTTTTTTTTTGCATTATAATTCTTATTACCCATATATACCACAAATTTTCATATTTCTGTTAGTATATGAAGTAGGTTGTCACCCAATTGGAGTCTTCCTACATGCACTTTGTTTTTGTTTTTTTTTTAATATTTATTTTTTAGTTATCGGCGGACACAACATCATTGTTTGTATGTGGTGCTGAGGATCGAACCTGGGCTGCACGCATGCCAGGCGAGCGCGCTACCACTTGAGCCACATCCCCAGCCCCCCTACATGTACTTTGGATGATGATGTCCATCACATTCCACCATCCTTGCTAATCCCCTGCCTCCTCCCTGCCACCCTCCTCTGCCCTATCTAGAATTCATCTATCCCTCCCATGTTCCCCCTCCCTACCCCACTATGAGTCAGCCTCCTTATATCAGAGAAAACATTTGTTCTTTTGGGATTAGCTAACTTCACTTAGCATTATCTTCTCCAACGCCATCTATTTACCTGCAAGTGCCATGATTTTATTCTCTTTTATTGCTGAGTAATATTCCATTGTGGATATATGCCACATTTTTTTTTTTATATCCATTCATCCACTGAAGGGCATCTAGGTTGACTCTACAGTCTAGCTATGGTGAATTGTGCTGCTATAAACATTGATGTGGCTGTGTCCCTGTAGTATGCTGTTTTTTTTTTTTTTTAAAGAGAATTTTTTAATATTTATTTTTTAGTTTTCAGCGGACACAACATCTTTGTTTGTATGTGGTGCTGAGGATCGAACCCGGGCCGCACACATGCCAGGCAAGCGCGCTACCACTTGAGCCACATCCCCAGCCCTAGTATGCTGTTTTTAAGACCTTTGGGTATAGTCCGAGGAGTGGGATAGCTGGGTCAAATGGTGGTTCCATTCCCAGTCTTCCAAGGAATCTCCGTACTGCTTTCCATATTGGCTGCACCCATTTGCAGTCCCACCAGCAATGAGTGTACCTTTCCCCCACATCCTCGCCAATACTTATTGTCTTCATAATAGCTGCCATTCTGACTGGAGTGAGATGATATCTTAGAGTAGTTTTGATTTGCATTTCTCTGATTGCTAGAAATGATGAGCATTTTTTCATATATTTGCTGACTGATTGTATATCCTCTTCTGAGAAGTGGCTGTTCAGGTCTATTTGTTGACTGGGTTGGTTTTTTTTTTTTTTTTTTTTGGTCCTTAGCTTTTTGAGTTCTTTATATCTGATGTGTGAGGGGTAAAGATTTGCTCCCAGGATGTAGGCTTTCTGTTCACCTCACAGATTGTTTCTTTTGCTGAGAAAAAAAGTTTTTACTTTGATTCCATCCCGTTTATTGATTCTTGGTTTTAATTCTTTGCTATAGGAGTCTTATTAAGGAAGCTGGGACCTAATCCACATGATGAAGATTAGGGCCTACTTGTAATCCCCGATATTCATCCGGTATTTGGTTTCCCAGGAAAGGCCAAAGTCCCCAGCCTCTTTTGCAGCCAGGATTTCCTTCCTCCACCCTACCCACCCCTGCACCCAGGCCTTTGCCTTCTGCCTGGCCAACAAAACCCAAGTGTTGAGAGTTCTTAAAAGTAGTAAGTATCCTTCTTACCTTCCCCTTCATCCTGCCAGCTGAAATGCAGATTTGATGGCCTGCAGCTCAAGCAGCCATCTTAGACTATGAGGCAGAAGCCATGTGTTAAGAATGGCATAAAAACTAAAACACTGGTAGAGAATCCCTGGGTTCAATCCCCAGTACCACAAAAACAAACAACTAAATGCCAACCTTCCCACCCTTCAGCCTTCCCAGCTCCAAGCTGGTAACCTCCTATGTCTGCCAACTAGAGAATTAGTTGTTTCTTAGTTTTGTTTTGTTTTTTTTTTTTTTTAGAGGGAATTTTTTTAATATTTATTTTTTAGTTTTTGGCGGACACAACATCTTTCTTTGTATGTGGTGCTGAGGATCGAACACGGGCCGCGCGCATGCCAGGCGAGCGCGCTGCCGCTTGAGCCACATCCCCAGCCCTCTTAGTTTTGTTTGATACATATAGCTAAAACCCTTTGAAATTTTATTTATTATTATTAGTGTGGTTCTGGGGTTGAATCTAAGGATACTACCACTGAGCTACATCCCTAGCTCTTTTTCTATTTTTTCTTGGGACAGAGTCTTGCTAAACTGCTCAAGCCTCAAACATGAGATCCTCCCGCCTCGGGAGTGGATGGGATCACAGCGTGCACCACAGGCCCAGGGGGAACCTTTCTTTCCTTCAGCCCTGAGGATTGGACCCAGGGTCTCAGTGGTGCAAGCAAGTGCTCCAGCACTGAGCTGCATCTCCAGCCCTTTTATTTTGAGACAGGATCTTGCTAATTGCCCAGGCTGGTCTCAAACTTGCTATCCTCCTGCCTCAGCCTCCTGAGTTGCTGCGATTACAGGTGTGCACCACCATGCCTGGCTTCACCCATCTTGAAGAAACTCCTAGAGGCCCAAGTCGTCCCCCAGGATGGAGGGCAACAGGAAGGGAGTTTCAACTCTGTGGTCCCTGATCCCAGGATTCGCTAAACCACTGTCACTCAATTTTCTGGCTGTCTGGAAACACCATGGCACACATGGGAGGGGCAGGTCAGGACTTGACACTTGTAGAAACAAGGAAAACTGTGAGTGTGATGGGCAGGGCCTGGAGTCCGGACCTGTGGATGTCTCAGCTGAGACAGCGACAGAAGACACACCCTGAAGTGTCCCGTGTGGCCAAGTGGCTCAAGCAGGTGGTCTTGCTTTGGCCCTGAGGGAGGTGTTTTGTCATCTTCCATACAGCTGCGCATGGTGGTCTGCAGGGTGAGACCCACCCCCACTCTGGGCTGAGTACCAGAACCCCTGGAGGGTCTGGAAACAGGTCCATCTGCGCAGCAGGGAGGCGGCCAAGGGGAATCACCCCACCCCAAGAACAGGAGGAAGGCAGGGAGGCAAGGGAAGGAGCCTGAGGCCTTCCAGCCAGGAGCCCTGAGGCCTGTTCCCATGCCTGGGCGTGGGTTTTAGACATGAACTCGCTGTCATCAGACACCCCTGGGTGGGTTCTGGTGGTGCCAAGGAGGGAGGCCAGGTTCCCTAGGAATGGCCTGAGCCATGGTTTTCCTGAGCCTGCCTGCCAGAAGGGTACGGCTGCTCCTGGCACCCCCAGTGGAGTTGGGGGAGGCCCATCCTTGATTCCCTCCCATGTTCTGAGGTGAAGCCTGTGGCCCCCCAGGAGCTTCCCTGCACCATCTCCCACACTAGCCCGCGGGCTTTCCTGGGAGCTGGGAATACGACTTATCCTGCCAGGACTCACGCTGCACCAAGAGGGAGCACAGCTGCCTTACGAAGCCACAGCGAAGCTCTCTCTGGAAAGAATACGAAGAAATGGCAGCCCCGGGCGATGGCAGGGGTGGGTCAGCTCTGGAGGGGCCGTACTGTGCTGGTTGGGATGCACTTTCTTTAACAACTGAGGACGCTGGGGTGGGGCTCAGCGGTACCCCTACCTAGCACTGGGATCCCAGGGTTCCAGCCCAGCCCCACCCAAACAACCAAACAAACAAAATGAAAGAAAGAAAAAGCCGAGGATCAAGGATCAACGAATGCTCCTTTGTTGGGCCCTGGGAGCTGCTGGCAGCCTGAAGTGGTCCCAGATCTGGGCTCTCCATCACCTCAGCTCCAGCTGAGGAGCCTGATGAGGCCCGGGGAAGTCTGAGAGGAGTGCAGGGCCTGCCACTGTCCAGCCACCCAGAGCAGCAGGTGGACTCTGGACTTTGCCATGGACATGCAAGAGGGACCCAGGGCTAACACGACCTTAGCGCACCCTCAGGGAGAGTTGCCAGAGAATGATGGGCCCCCGCCCCAGCCATTTCCACCACGCCCTTGGGACGTGGTGACAAGTGACCTGGGAATAGGGTGGAGGGGCAAGGGCTGGGGGCACACCAGCATCCAGCCAGGGGGGACAGGCCCCAAATTCACCCCAAGATTGGCCTTTCCTGACCAAACCACAAGGCACACATTTGGAGTTTCACAAATCTGATGAGTTCCAGACAGGGGTACATTTGGGGAGATGCCTGACCTGGCTCTGAAGGCCCCTGCTGGGGCCAGCTCTCAGCTGCCTGCTCCTTCCGGGGTTCAGGCCCCAGAGTGGTCCTCGGACAAGGACAGTCCCAGGCCTGAGAGGCCCTCAAGTTTGGCTGTGGAGCCACCGCCTCAGTGCGCAGGTTACAGGACGGCCATCGGGCTCACTCCCCGCTATGCCGGGATTTGCCTGTCAGCCGGCGGCGCTGGGTCTTGCTGGTGCGGGTGGCACTCGGGGGCTTCTTGGTGGAATCCTGTGCCCGTCGGGGACGTTTTCTCTTGACCTTTTTCCGGCTGTGGGCATGCAGCGACGCTGTGAGGGAGGAGATCCTGTGGAGGGCAGAGGGGTGAGGCCCAGCCTCAGTGTGCCCTGGGAATGGGGGGGCGGGGGGCAAGGGCTGGGCTGGGGGCACACCATCATCCAGCCAGGGGGGACAGGCCCCAAATTCACCCCAAGGTTGGCCTTTCCTGACTCCAGAGCACCTGCAGTCCCACGCCTGGCCCTCTAGCTTCCCCCCACAGGCATGGTGACAAGCCAGGGCTCACCGCTGAGACAGCAGGGGGTCTTTGGACTTCCTGGGTAAGGCTCTGGTTGGTTTCTCCACAGACGACATCTCCTCCTTGGACCCGTCCCCAGCACCTGGCTAGAAAAGCACAGGAGAAGAACTGTCACAGAAAGTGGATGGGCCTGGGGACACAGCTCAGTTGGTAGAGGGCTCGCCTCCCGTGCACGAGGGCCAGGGTTCAATGCCCAGCACCACAAAACACAAAAAACGGGGAGTGGATGGATAGGGACCAGGCTGGACACCCTAAGTGAGCATGGCTATGTCCAGTGGTGGGCATGGCCTGATGCCTAACAGGCCTGGAGCCAGGCCAGAGAAGGCCTTGGCCAGATGGCCCACATCCACCCGAAAGCCAAGATCACACAGGGGACAGCCCTATTTCAAAGTCCTCCCTGCCTCAGCTTGTAGTTTACAGTGGACAGTCGAACACTCATGAATAAAAAACGAGCAAACAGGTGACAGGACTGGTCTCTGCATCAGATCTCACACAGGGACCAGCACAGTGGCAGATGAGAGTCAGACCCTTATGGACAACACAAGGCAGTGGCTTCGGGCAGGACGCTGCCACCATGGGACGCAGGTGGGTCTCTGTACCCAGGTTCACACTCAACTGAAAACATTTGGGAAAAAAATTATTGCTTCTGTGCTGAACATGACAGACTTTTTTCTGGTCATTATTCCGTAAACAACGCAGTGAACTATGCACCTTGCACCGGGCTGGTATTAGACGTCATGAGCCGTCTAGAGGTGACTAAAAGCCCAGGGGGACTGCACAGGCTACAGCAGGTACTATTTTATTCAAGGGACACAGACACGGCAGATCTTGGAATCGGGAGTCCTGGAACCAATCCTCCTTAGCCGCAGAGGGACAACTGCACATAATAAATCCTGAAGCGAACCAGGCAGATGCAACTGTGATTACAAGTGGTGTTTCATGAAACAAGGTTACATGTACTCACGAGGAAGCTTTCTGCTATTTTCAATTACATTCTTTTTCATTTTTATTTTTTTGGTACCAGGGGTTGAACCTAGAGGCATTTAACCACTGAGCCACATTCCCAGCCCCCTTTTTATTTTCTCCTTTCAGACACAGTCTCACTAAGTTGTTTAGGGCCTTGTTAAATTGCCAAGGCTGGCCTTGAACTTGTGATCTTCCAGCCTCAGCCCGCTGAGCTGCAGGATTACAGGCGTGCCTGCTACCCGGATCAATTATATTCTTTTCTTTTTATTATTTTTGCCATGCTGGAGATGGAAGCCAGGGCCTCGTGCATGCTGAGCAAGCACTCTACCACTGAGCTCCTCCTTAGTCCCTCTTTTTTTTTTTTAAAGAGAGAGAATTTTTATTCTTTTTTTTTTTTTTTTTTTTAGTTTTCGGCGGACACAACATCTTTGTATGTGGTGCTGAGGATCGAACCCAGGCCGCACTCATGCCAGGCGAGCGTGCTACCCCTTGAGCCACATCCCCAGCCCTCTTTTTATTTTTTTAATATTTGTTTTTTATTTATAGTTGGAAACAATACCTTTATTTTATTTATTTTTATGTGGTGCTGAGGATCAAACCCAGGGCCTCGCACATCCTAGGCGAGCACTCTACCGCTGAGCTACAATACCAGCCCCCAGCCCCTCTTTTTAATGCTGTGAACTACTGATGATTCACAACCCACAGGTTGAAAACTCATGCTCAGTGTATACAGATGTGCCATATTACTGCTGCTTATCACACCAGGGGAACAATCACAACAAACAGCAATCTTTGAGCACTCACTGCTGGGCAGGCAAGGTACCAAGTGATTCACATGGATTGGATTCATCCCCTTTTGAGGATTGAACCCTGGGTCACCACAAAGATGTAACCTTTTTTTTTTTTTAAAAAAGAGAGAGAGAGAATTTTAATATTTATTTTTTTAGTTATTGGTGGACACAACATCTTTGGTTGTATGTGGTGCTGAGGATCGAACCGGGGCCACATGCATGCCAGGCGAGCGCGCTACCGCTTGAGCCACATCCCCAGCCCTTTTTTTTAACTTAAAAAAAGAAAAAGTGTGTGTGTATATATAAATATATATATTTATATATTTATATTTGTAGTTGGACACAATACCTTTATTTTATTTATTTATTGATATGTGGTGCTGACGATCGAACCAGTGCCTCGAAAGCTAGGTGAGTGCTCTACTGCTGAGCCACAACCCCACTCTCCCCTTTTCATTTTTTAAAACAGGGTTTAAGTGGCTGAGGCTGTCCTCAAACTGATGGATCTCCTGCCTCAGCCCCCAGAACTGCTGGGATTACAGGTGAGTGCCACACCACACCTGGCTGGAATCACCACTTTTATCTTCAGAGCAATGCCACAAGGCAAGTGCTACCATGAGCAGCTTCCAGTTTATGGATGAAGACAGGGAAGAAGGCAAGTCAAAGAAACTTGCCCAAGCCGGCTGCGGTGGCCCACACCTCTAATCCCAGTGGCTTGGGAGCTGAGGCAGGAGGATTGCAAGTTCAAAGCCAGCCTCAGCAACTTATGAATCCCTAAACAACTCAGCAAGACCTGTCTCTAAATAAAAATATAAAAACAGCACCCCTGGGGGGCTGGGGATATAGCTCAGTGGGTAGAGTGCTTGCCTTGCATGCACAAGGAAGGCCCTGAGTTCAATCCCCAGCACCACAAAAATAAATAAATAAACAAACACCCCTGGGTTCAATCCCTGGTACCAAAAAAAAAAAGAAAGAAAGAAACTCCTTTACTGCCCAGTGGTGCAGGCAGGGACCAAAGGGTGCAGACCACAAGAGCTTCTTGCACTGCGATACCCGCGACATGGGCAGTATCCGGCAACCCAATGAGGGCCATGCCCCATGCCCGTTCTTCCCCAGGGCAGGACCCACCTCAGGCAGGGGTAGTCCGAGCAGTCGGGCTCCAGAGAGGTCCAGGTCGCTGATGGTGGTCACGGTGACTGTGTGGTTGGGGTGGTCATACTGCACAGACTCTGTCTTTGCCGTCACCAGCCGGTCTAGCTCATCTGCCTCCTCTGCAGGGCAGCCACGGATCAGGCCTCAACCCCAGAACAAGCAATGGAGCTGCAGCCTCCCTCCCAAGCCTGGACTACAGGGGCCCTTCCACCCTGGCCCAGAGCCTGGCCTGCAGACAGATGTAATCAATCACCCACTCTTCCCTCCTTGCTCTAGGCCAGACCCCATTCACAAACTCTGTGATACCAGGAGCTGCCACCGCCCCTCCCTCCAACTACTTCCTCCAGTCCTTGGAAACAGGGTTCTGTTCAGGCTCAGTTTACCATGAGGTTTGGGTCTCCTCCTGGTCTCTGATCCACTGTGCTTAGAGATATGAGAGGCCCACCCCTAGTGCCCAGGTCATCACCAAGACCCCTGAAGCTAAGGAGGTCACCTGTGCAGTTCTCACCCTCTCCCCCCAACACCAGAAGCCCAGCCTCCCTGGTTGTTCTCCAGGTCAGGCCAAGGAGGACTCACCCAGCGCCTCCTCTCTCTCTGCCAGCATCTTCAAGTATTCTCGGTGGCGCTAAGGGCACATGGGAAGGGTACAGTGAGTATGGCCTCTCCTTCAGTCTCAGCAGGGGCACTGCTGACCTCAGGGCATGTGAGACCACGGCTGATAGTTCAAGGTCAAGAGGAGACTCCATACTCCACCTTCCCCAGTCCCAGGCCAGAATCTCTCCTTGTATAAAGGGCTTCTCAGTCCTGTCCTGCCCCACACCCCTCCACCTTCCCTGTGGCCATCTCTATCAGGGCCATCTGGGGCTGTAAGTCCCCCTCCATCCACCTTCCTTCACCTCCTCCCGGAGCTTCTTCTGCTCCTCCTTCAGCCGCTGCTTAATCTCCTCGATGGCTGCCTTCTTCCGCTCCACTTTCCGCTTGTGGAAGCCAGTCAGGTACTCCCTACAGGAAGGAAGCAGGCCAGAGGCAGGAGAGTTTGGAGGAGATAAGGAAAGAACTGGCTTAGGAAGAGAGCACAGCCAGTGCTGCACCATGTGTGCAGGGCTCTACTCACCCACCCTCCTCTCACCTCACCTGTAGGGATCAAGCCCCATTAACAGACAGGGACATGGAGGCACACAGTCTAGGTTACTTGCCCCAGGTCACACAGAGTACAGTCATGCACCATTTAATGATAAGAACACAGTCTGAGAAATGAGTTGCTAGGTGATTGTGTTGTTGTTTACATATCACAAAGTATATTCACACCAACTTAAATAGTATAGTCTACTACACATGGAGGTGGCATGGTACACCATCATTACGTGGGCCATCACTACCAAATCATCATTATGGAACATCTGATTGTGTAAGCTGTTTTTCTTCTTTTTGTTTGTTGTTTTTGTAGCAGGGATTGAACCCGAGGTGCTCTACTACTAAGCCTCATCCCCAGCACTTTTTATTTTTTATTTTGAGACAGGGCCTCACCAGGTTGCTGAGGCTGGCCTCAGTCTCCCAAGCCATGGGGTTGAAGGTGTGCGCCATCACACGGAGCTGGACGGTCTAAGTTTAGCAAAATATGAGATATGTTGCCTCTTTCCACTCTACACTCTCCAGAGCTCTCGGCTTCAAACAAGAGCTGGTAGTGGACACACAGAACTGGCTGAGGCCCCTTTTACACTGGCAAATATCACCGCTCAGGGTATTGAGCCACTTCCGGCAGGGCTTTCAAGAACACCAGATCTGCAGAAGTCCTCCACTGAACCAACACCCACTTCCCCAGGCCCCTGGCCCCACCCTAGGAGCTGCTGATTTACCCTCGGAGTTTCCGGGTGAGACCCAGGAATTTCTCTCCCTACCCCTGCCCTTTTACATCTCCTAGAGCCGGCTGCTCTTTAGGTCAGAACCGTTTGGTTCTGACGCCCAGCACGGGCTTTTTCTCGTGCCATTTTTTTTTCTGTGCCATTTGTCTAGGCGGGGCGCTGGGCCTGGGGCACTGCAGGAGCTCAACAGGCGTCTGGGGAGTGAATGAAAGCAGACAAGCCATTCTCGTTTCATTGGCTCATCGTTCTCAGCGACGGCTGAGCGCCTACTGGGCGCAGGGTCGATGGAGCCAGCTGAACTACCGAGGTCCGAGCTGCGGCTCTAGGCGAGCAGGGGGAGAGCGCGCCACCCCAACGGGCGGAGCTAGGAGAGCCCGAAGGACAGTCTGGCCACGCCCCGGGTGGGGCCGGAAGAGCTCTCCACGCGGGCGGGCGCGACCCGGACCTGACCTAGGCCTCGCCGGGGAGCCCGAGGGGGACGCTCTCCCGCCCTGTCACTCACCGCCGCTTCTCTTCATCGAAGCTGAGGACGAGCCGGGGACGCCGGTCGTCGCCATCTCGCTGCTTCTTTTTCTTGTTGCGACCCATAATGCTGAGGTTCCCACCAGCACAGCTTCCTATATCGCCTAAGAGACTTCCGGGTGTAGCGTTCGCAGCCTTCCGGGTGCACTTCGCAGAGTGGACCCGCCGTTCCGCCCGTCAGGCCCCGCCTTTTAAAGGGGCCGCCTGTTCTGTCTCCTCCCGCAATGGGTTGTATTCTGGTTATGGTCCTCCCAGACCCCATGCCTCGGACAGTGCCTGGCGCTAGAGGGCGCTCAACGTGGAGTTATTCGTGAATGGCCAAAATTCTCTGGTCCTAATTTAGGTCTGATGCCAAATGGTTGGTGATTTCCATGAGAGAGCCAAAGTGCTTGGTTTTGTAGTCTGGTACCCCACCTACAGGCTTGTGACCCAGGACTAGTTGCCTTCCTTGTGTTTCATTCACCCTGTTCCTAAAATGGCGATAACTTTCATGACTTTGTAGGTTTATTGTAGGACAGCGCTTCTGGAGCTTTGACATGCACTAGATCACATGCGGGCTTGCTAAAATGCAGATCCCTGGGCTAGCAGGTGTGGAGGTGCCCGGCTGTAATCCCAGCAGCTTCGGAAGCTGAGACAGGAGGATCGCAGGTTCAAAGCCAGCCTCAGCAAGAGTGAGGCGCTAAGCAACTCAGTGAGATACTGTTTCAAAATAAAATACAAAATAGGGCTGGGGTGTGAGTGTGTACTGTGTGCTGCGCACACGAAGAAGCAAACTTATTTCTGAGAGAAGGGACTGGGGCAAAGCTGGAACTTAAACCTGGTTCTTTGGCCTCCTTGTCCAGCTCTCTGGGCCACTGGTCTGCAGGACATTCGCCCAGTAGCCAACATACCCTCTGGGGGGGGTAATATGTCACAGTCTCCCTCCCCCACTCAGAGTGGCTGTAGATCAAGCGGGAAGGCACTGCTTGATAAACAGAAACCTGCCTCTCTCACCCCCTTCCCTCTCCATAGTCCGTTCATTTGGACTTCGGGCTGAGGCATGTTCCCAGAGCAGCCGTCACCCCTGCTTTACAAAGGACAATGCAGAGGCTCCGAAAGGGAAAATGACTTGGCCAAAGCCACACAATAAGCGATGGGATCAGAGCCGCCCACTGCCTGCTGCCCCAGACACAGAGCAGCTCGACCTTCCCAGGGCTTCTTGTCGGGCTCAGAGACAGGAATGAGTGAGTCAGCTGCTGGCCTGGGACCCAGGTGGCAGGCTCTGCAGGTTCACCCCTCTCCCAGCCCAGCCCCAGCCACAGGTCCTACGGGGCTCGGGGAGGACACAACCATGAATGAACCCAGTGCAGAGTGAAGTCTGCCGCCTGGGTTGGCTCCGCTGCTCCAGACCCTTGCAGGGAGTCTCAGGTTCCTTTGTCCCAGGAAGGGAGGCAAGGACCACCCACCACCCTTGTTGACTGGGTTTCTCTTAAAGTTATTTTTGCATTTATTGATCGTGTACTGTGTGCCAGGAGCAGCGGGACATGGCATGTTCTCTGAATAGAAATGATGATAAAGATGAGCAGAGAGAATCACGGTGGCAGCTGCCACTTACTCAGCTGGTCACGTCATCATTTCTTGGGGGGCATGATCCCCATTTTGCTGAGGAGGAAACGGGCTCAGAGAGATACGGGCTCAGAGAGATGCAGTCTCTTGCTTGAGATCACAGGCAAGAGCAGGAGATGCAGGTGACGTCCAGGGGTCTAAGAACAGAGCTTTTCTTAATTTCTCTGGACCCAGTTTCTTAGGCTCTTGGGGTACCCTGAGTCTCAAAGCGGGTGAGGGGAGTCACATCTACAGGGCCCCTGTCGGTTCCAGGCACAATACATCCCCCCCTCCCTCTGCCTTTCCCTCAGAGACAGGACCAGGGTTGCTTTAACCACTGAGCCGCATCCCCAGCCCTTTTTATTTTTTTGATTTTGAGGCAGGGTCTAGCTAAGTTATTTAGGGCCTCGCCAAGTTGCTGAGGCTGGCTTTAAACATGTGATCCCCCTGCCTCAGCCTCCCCAGCCTTTGGGATTACAGGTGTGGGCCATCATGCCTGGCTCCAGCCCTTTTTATTTTCTGAGACAGGGTCTCCCTAAGTTACCCAGGCTGGCCTTAAACTTGTGATCCTCCCAGGCACCATACATTTATATACCTTACCTCAGCTAATCCCCACAACCCCACAGGGAAGATACTAGTATTAATTTGACAAATGAGGAAACTGAGGTTCAGAGATGTTGAGTAACTGGTCCAAGGACACATAGCAGTGGAGTGAGGTTTAAACACAGGTCTATCTGATTTCATGCTCAGTGGTCTCCTCTTGGCCCCAGGGATCTCCTCTGCACACTGTAGTCCCAGTCCAGAGTGCGTGCTTGGCTAGTGTTGGAGAATCAGTATGGGGGACTGCGAAGACCTGAGACAGGCCAGGTGCTATGGAGCATACCTGTAATCCCAGCAGCTCAGGAGGCTGAGGCAGGAGGATCTCTAGTTCAAAGCCAGCCTCACCAACTTAGACAGGCCTTGAACAACTTATCAAGACCCTATCTTAAAATAAAATATAAAAAAAATGGGCTGGGGATGGGGCTCGGTGGTTAAGTGCCCCTGGGTTCAATCCCTGTACCAAAAAGAAAAAAAACAATTTGAGGCAGCCTAGGGGACATTTCCCTGGTGTCCAGCAGAGGGCGCCCTTGGGAGCCCCAGGAGAGCGTGGAGATTGGGTGTGGCTCATGGGACCCGCCACCGTTGCGATGCCTCTTCTTTGGCCCTCTCTGGAGGTGGGCCCACCAGGTCCCAGGGAACCCACCAAGATGCAGCTCATCCATCCACAGTGACCCCCATTTTATGGGTGAGAACACTGAGGCAACACAGCCGGTGCCAGATGTCCTGGAGCACAAGAGTGGCTAAGCAGCTGCCACCGGCTCAGGAGACTGTGCCCAGGGTGTGGGGGAGCCTGGTGACGTTCTGACTTGAGACTTCCAGAACGTTGACGGAGTTCCCACAGCTGTTTCCCAGGGAGGTAGAAGGGCCCCTGGAAAAATGCGGCCCAGCAACAAGCGGAGCCACCCTCCCTGGTCCCTCATGAGCACCGGGCGTTTGAGGTCAGCATTGTCAACCAGGTAACAGCCGGGCTGCTCGTGAAGAGGCATCCTCTTTGAAAACCATGGAGGACCAGCTCAGAGGCCTCATCAGGCCCAGAGTGACCTCTACTCTCCTGTGCCCCAAGGAAGAGGCTGTGGGCAGCAGGAGGCCTCACATTAGCTGGCCTCTACCTCTGGGATCTTTGCAGGGGTCCACTTACCTCCCCAGCTCCTCCTAGCACAGAAATGGGGGCTGGCAATAGGGGTCAGGGGACCATGGCTTTCAGATTAGCCTCCCAGTTGTCCTTGCTCCAGCAAAGGGGCACCAGAGCTCGAATGCATGGGGCCCGCTCAGTCTCAGCTGGGCCTGGCACAGGACCAGGGCTCCTGTTTTGCATTCAGAGCCCATTTCCTCCTTTAAACTGGAGTCATGACATCTCAAAACGCAGTGCAGTGAGGAGGAAGGGAAAACCACCACCCACGGGGCACTTGCCATGAGCCACGCACTGAATTTGTCCTCCTTCATGTGACATCTCATTTAATCTTCACAACAACCCTAGGATACGCTGTGTGTAATATTCCCTTTCTATAAATAATAAGCTCAGGCACAGAGAGGTCAATTAATATGCACAAGACCACACAGCTGGCAGCCCCTCCTTCAACTCCAGGTTGTTGTTTTTTTTCCCTCCAAAGTCTTTTTTTTCTCTCTTCTTCCTTTTGAGACAGAGTCTCACCAAGTTGCTGAGGCTAGCCTTGAACTTGTGATCCTAATGACTCATCCTCCCAAGTTGCAGGAATGATAAGCATGCATCTTTTTTATCCCCTTAAATGGAGTCTCCTGTTCAAACCCCAGCACTGCACAACAATCAATAAATAAAGACGGTTTGCTAGGTTGGCCCCAAACCCCTGGGCCCAGGTGATCCTCCTAAGTAGCTGGAGCTGCAGGCAGAGGGCTGCTGCACCTTCTGACTCCACGTCTTTGAGCTCCTGAAGGTAAATGAGAGGGGGCTGTTGTTCCCTCCACCTTCTCCCATCCCACCTGGCACCAGGACCTAATGGGTTCAGTGCCCTCCATGGTGCCTTCAAGGGTGTACTGAGCTCTGCTCCGTCTGGGGAGCCCGGGGGAGACGGTACACATGGAGGAGGTGAAGGCAGGGCCAGGCCTGGGGAAGGGGACCTTTCACCCACGGACACGCACACAGGAGGCTGGCTCAGGGGAACAGAGGCAGCTGCCTTTATTGGCGGCCTTGGGCCGGCTGGTGTCACTCGAAGGCTATGCACTTGATCTTGAAGTCGCCGTCTGCTGCCACATAGTTGATGGCCTCCAGGTTGAGGCGGTTGGGGAACTTGAACTCGTGTCCATCTGGCAGCTTGATGGTCAGGTCCGTCTGGTCAAAGGAGAAGCACACCTGGAGGTGGAGAGGGACATGAGCCGGGCCGCAGCAGGACCCAGCCATGCTGACCCCGTGACCAGGCAGTGAGGGAGGGACCCCGGGTGGGGCCCAGGCCCAGAGACCCCAAACCCAGCACCCCCCAGGGCCCTCCCCACCCCCCAGCCACCTCCACGACACTCCCAGGCTGGAAGGGGAAGGCGGGCTCGCGGTGCTCGGCCCCCCAGGCCCCGCCGTCCTTGCTGTTGCACACGATGGTGTTGGCGTCGCCGAAGGCGTTGAAGCGCGGGTTGAAGTGCAGACACAGGTTGTTGCTGTCTTTGCCCAGGTTCAGCACGAAACTAGGGAAGAACAGGTGAACTTGAGGATACCTTGGCCAGCTGAGGCTACCTTCTGGTCAGTCCCTAAAGCAGACCAGTCTGTCACTCGGTACACCACTACTGCTCCTTGCTGGGAGACTCATCCAACCAGACCAGAAATCCGTACTCTAGTCTGGCCTTGCTGTGTGACTTGAGCTAGTCTCTGACCCTCTCTGGATCTCAGTTCGCTCGCTTGCACGATGGGGGCTGCAGAAGAAAGATCTCTAAGGGTTTTGCTGTGCTGATGGCCCCAGACTCTTGCAGATCTAACCTTTTTTTTTTTTTTTTTTTTTGGGGTGCTGGGGATTGAACCCAGGGCCTTGTGCATGTGGTATCCCCAGCCGGTGATCTAACATTTTAGGTCAAGCTCAGGGACCCCCTCCAGATGGTGACCTCTGGGGGGGCAAGTGTCCTGTCTTGTACATTTCTGAATCCCTGTTGCCCAGCACTGAGTGGGACACAGCATATACTGAATGAATGATCAGAGGTTTTTTGGGCTGGGGTGTGGCGCGTGGCAGAGTGCACACTTAGCACGTGGGAGGCCCTGGGTTTGATTCCCAGCATCACGCAAAAAAAGAAAAAGATGGCTCTTTTCGTGGAGCGATGAGTGTGAAAAGAGTGGGTGTCTCTTACAAAGAAATCACCGCCATCATTGATATACCCAGCCTCTGTCCTCCTCCAGCTCACCCCTGCCCCCGTGTTTATTGATTAAGAAACTGAGGCCCAGAGAGGTTGGTTGACTGGTCCAAGGTCATAAGGCTGCTGAGAGGAAGGGCCCTGGATGGGCGAATGAAGGACTGAAGATACAGAAGGGTGGGCCAGGGACGAGCAGCCCTAGGAAGGAGGGTCTCTAAGGGAGAGTGGGTGGCGCCCCTCTGTCCCCTTCTCCAGGCCCCAGCCTCAGATCCTGCCCGGAGTCGGAAAGGGAGGGGGCCAGTCAAGGTAAAGATGAGGCCGCAGCTGGTTTAATTTAGAGGCTGGGAGGGGGGAGGGGGCGAGGATGGTGGGGGCGCCAGACCCCGCGGAGGAAGTGACTCACCCAGAAACGCAGCCAGCAGCTGGCCGCGGACCCACTGGAGAAGCGGGCTTCCCGCCGGCCACGCCCACCCCGCCGCCCCACCCAGGCCTCGGAGCGCCATCCCCGCCATCGCCATCCCCGCTACCTCCCACCGCCACCGGCGGTCACCCCTCACCTCTTGGCGTCGGGAGCCACCTCGCCGCGCACTCTGAGGCACTCTCCGGGTTTGAGGTTCAGGTTGCTGGCGACCAGACCCTGTGGCACACAAGACCCGCCCGCTGGGTTAGGGAGAGGTGGCTTCCTGGGGCGGCTGGGCGTGGCAGTGGGGTCTTTCCCACCCTATGTCCTCTGACCAGGCCACCGGGAAGCCTGGGGGACAGGACAGGTTCTTACAGGGAAAGCCCCTCTCCCCACAGGGACTCTGAAACATGGGGTGCTCCCCAGCTCGGGCTCTGGATCTTGCCCTTGGGCTGCGGGACCTGGTTCAGAGCAGCCTGGGAGGCGGGGTTCAATGCCCCTCATTTAGCAGAGGCCACTTGCAGCGGGTGCAGACACTTTCCCAAGGTGACACTGGAGGAGTCTGTCCCTCTGCTGGAGAAATGGCCTGGGGCTACAGCAACCTCCCCCATCCGGGTCAAGCTCCTCTCTGCAGAGAGGTGCAGGGGCCAAAGAGGACACCGAGGACTATGGCCAGGCCCTTCTGCAGGAGGGAGAACCCCCAAAGATTAGGGCTGCCCCTGGGGATGGTTCAGGGTTAAGGAGACTGACCAGGACGCAGGGCACTGCCTGGCACTATGAGCCCTGGCACCAGGGCGGTGGGCAGGAGTTAACTGGAGTTAAGAGTTCCTTCTGCCAGAAGCCTTCCCTAGGGGCCTGGGGAGACTCCGGCCTCCCCTTCCCTCCCTCACCAGCCTCTTCAAGTGGGATTCCCCACCCCCACCTGGTCAGCCCAGAGGAACCAGCCCCACCCCCGGCCCCAGGGAAACCTCCACCAGCAGCCCCCTGGCTCCTGCAGACTTTTTAGAGCTCTCTGGAGCAGAGGGTGACTTGGCCCTGGAGCAGTGACTGGAGACAGCTGCAGGGGGGGGAGGGGACATGAGGCTCTGGAGTGCAAGAGGGGGAAAGGACAGTGGCCTGGACCAAAGTGCCCCCCCACTGTGGCCACACCCTTCAAACTCCCACTTCTCCGAGCTGCAGAATTGAGCTGCAGAATCGCAGAATGTGGGACCTTGGCAGAATCAACTCCGCTGCCCCACCCTGGAGCAACCAGAAAATTCTTAAGCCACAGAAGGCCCTGGGGGACCATGGCGCCCACCCCCATTTTACAGATGTGGCCACTGAGGATCAGAGAAGAGAAGGCACTTGTCCAAGGCCATACAGCTGGGACTAGAGCCCCGCTTCGGAATGGCCCTGCACTCCCCTGGTCATCTGCTCCCCGCTATCCCCAGTCCTTGGGGTGGGGGACCCACACTCACACAAGCCATAGTGAAGCCTAGAGGGTGTTCCCGGGGTCTGCTGCAGGGCTGTCAAAGGACTCCTCAGAGAGATGGGCCCGGCCGCTCCCACCCTTTTAACTGGACCGGACCCGCTGAGTCCCGCCCCCTGGAAGCTCAGCCAATTGCAAGTCAGGACTGGGATGGGGGCCACCAAGGCGGGGTCAATGGAATTTCTAAATCGATTCTGGAGCAGAGGTGACCAATCAGAGTAGCGATTCCCCTCCCTCCTTCCCAGCCACGCCCCCAGGGTCCCACTCCACCTCCTATCCTTCATCCTCCCCCCATCAAAAAAAAAAAAAACTTATGCTGTGGCAGAGATTGGGGGGAGCCAACGGAAAATAGTTTGAGGATGAGCTAGACCCAAAAGTTGGCGGGAAGGGGCCTGAGGCCGGCAGCTGAGCACAGGGGGCGCCCAGAGAAGAGGGCTGAGGGGGCGCAGGATGCGCCAGGGAACTAGAGCTGGGGAGGGAGAGGCTGCGACCTGGGAGGGCCAGGGCGTGGCTCCCGCTGAGTGCCACTGCGGAGGGCTAGGGCCGGTGGCCACGGGGCCCTGGCCCCACCCGTCCCCCACCCCGCCCCGGAAGCGGTGCCTGCAGCTGCCGGACTCGCTGCTCACTTTGAGCTAAAGAAAGGCTGGGCCCCGCGCCAGGGTGAGGCTGTGAGCTGAGGCCTGCACCTCGGGTTGCCTGGGCGGAGGCGGCGGCCGGGGATTCTCTGAGAGTCGCTGCCCCCGGGAGCGCAGGCCTGGGAGGTGGCCCGCGGTGCGCCAGGCCCTGAGGGGTTGGGGTCTCCACTCTGTGCACCCCTGCTCCTCCCATCTCCTGTCTGAAGCCAGCCTCCTCTTCCCCACGTGCACAGCAGATATTCTCCTGAGCACCTACTGTGTGCCTGACCCTGCTCCGACTTCAGAGGATACAAAGAGGAGCCCCTCCTAGTCCCTGTCCCTCCCGAGGAGCCCATGGTTGAGGTTAGGTGGAATCTGACCAAGAAGCTGATGAAGAAACCGGGCGGTTCTAAGGCGAGTGGGATGGAGAAAGGGAGGCAGGTGGTCTCAAAGACTGGCCTTCCCGCAGGACACAGGCCTGAGGACAGGGAGCGAGCGTCTGAGCATGTAGGAGAAGGTGGGGGGCGAGACTGGAAGAAAGCCAACTGTACCCGGTCTTGAAGGGGCTCGTGGGCCAGGTAAAGGGCTTGGAGAGTTTCATCTGAGGGTACTGGGGAGCCACCGAAAGTTGTAGGGAGGGTGAGTATTGAGAGTAGACATGGGATATGGGGAAGGTTTCCGCAGCAGAGTTGAGGGGGCCTGCGGGCAGTCACCGCACATTCGGGACCCGCTTAAGGAAGGGGCACGAGGGCTTGCCAGGGAGTTGCCAAGGGGACCTGCTCTGTGTGGCCACCCCCCTTCTAAACTGACAGCACTGAAGAGGGAGGGAGATGCGACTAGGAGTGAGTCACATCTGGAGGCCAGGCCAGCACCCACCCACCCCTCCCGGCCTCCCCAGCCGAGCCCCCACCCCCCACACCCCACTTTTGTCCAGATGACTGAAGCCCGCCCCCCCTGCACCAGATGACAGGGGTGTGTGTAGGGCCGCCCTCTGTGTGGGGGACCCAGAGAAGGGGGCTGCACCCAGGAGCCCCCTCCCTCTCCCCAGGCCAGTGTCGCCTGGTAACCCAACCACAGAAGCTTCACTTTTTCCTGTGTGCCTCCCCCAAACCTCAGTCCTAGGGAGGGGCCGCCAGACCAGCCCAGCTCCACTCCTCTCCCAGAGATGCTCCCTGCCACGTCACAACGGGGCCTCAGGAGGTGCCCCAGACCCAGGACCAGAGGAGCTCTGGGCAGGGCGCCTGTCCCAGCCCAGGAGTGACCTGGAGAGTGGCCAGCACCAGGGAGTGCTTGCTCCTGGGCAGGGACGGGTCACTTCCGTCAGGGTCCAGCAGCATGGCCGAGGGTGCAGGTCCCCAGGAAGGCCCCACTGGGGTCTGGGGACTTGGGTTCTGCTTCTAACCCTGTTGTGCTCCCCCACCCCCAGGGAATCCTGGCTGCCCGGGCTCCCGGCTTGCCTCAGTCTCCCCATCTGCAAACTGGGCCTGTGAAATGCTGCTCTCCTGCTCAAGGGTCACACAGGGCCTGACTCGGGTCAGTGACTCAGGCATCTCAGGTTTCAACTTCCCTCTGGCCCTTAGGGCCCTTTCTCCCAGACTGAGTTTATCTTCCTGGGGGGATCTGAGAGGACTTGCCCTCTGGTTCCTAACATGGATAACTGGGCTCTCAGGGAGACAAAAGATACCCATGCCAGGCATAGAAGCCCACACCTGTAATCCCAGTATCTTGGGAGGCTGAGGTAGGAGGATGGAGAGTTCAAAGCCAGCCTCCATGGCAAAAGCAAGACACTAAGCAACTCAGACTCTGAATCTAAATAAAATACAAAATAGGGCTGGGGGTGTGGTTCAGTGGTCCACTGCCCCTGAGCTCAATCCCAGGTACTCCCCCTGCCCCCCAAAAAACCAGAGACCTTTACTAGAGACCCAGATCTACGAGCATGAGCATGTCCAGCCCTTTGGTTAGATGAACAAAGTCTCCAGTGCGTGCCTGTGTTCCAGATCAACTAGAACAAAAGCATAGTCAATTTAAATGTCACCAGATTCAAAGACCTACACAGGGAGCCCACAGCTGATTTCAGGCTGGATTGCTCAACCAGGAAGCAACATTCTGAACCCCAAATATCAAAGGACTGATGTGGGGTTTAATTTTCACAGAAGCTTGCTGGAAAGTCGTACTTTTCTTCCTAGGAAAACCCTATGTATAGTCAGATAGCTCTGCCCTGGGGACATCGCTCTCTTCCCTGAATGAGGGGTCTCTGCACCCTGCTTTGGGGTATGTAGACCTTTGCTGTGTTTTATTTTTATTTAAGATTTTTTTTAATTTTTATTTTTTTGGTACTGGGGATTGAACCCATGGCACTTAACCTTGGAGCCACATCCCCAGCCCCATTTTCATTTTGTTTAGAGACAGTGTCTCACCGAGTTGCCGGGCACCTTGCCATTGCTGAGACTGACTTTGAACTCACAATCCTCCTGCCTCAGCCTCCCAAGTTGGTAGGATTACACATGTGTGCCACCACACCAGATCTGCTTTGCTGTTTTTAAACAAATCTTTGCTTGTGACTTGCTCTTGGTGTGTCTCAACGTGTCTTTTCAGTGGTGTAAGCCTAGAACCTGCCTGGCCGAGTTGAGGACCCAATGCTCCCCTTGGAAGGGTCTTCACAGATCCTGGGACATTCCTTTGGCAATCCAGATGGCACTCTAAACTGAGGAACCACCCGTGCTGAGTTGAACTGAATGCTTTGAACCCAGGGGCAAGTAACCACGGAGCCACATCCCCAGCCCTTTTTATTTTTTATGTAGTTCAGGGCCTCAGCTAAGTTGCTGAGGCTGGCCTTGAACTCATGAACCTCCTGCCTCAGCCTCCCTTGGTGCTGGGGTTGCCCGGCTACATTCTTTCTCCTATTTCATGCTGCAGAGTTTCTGTTTCTGACCTGCTGCTTTTTGTTTCTCACAGTGCAAGCTGAGCTCCTGCTTCACCCTGCTCTGCGGCCTCTGGGAGTGAACCCTCCTAAAGGACACGCCCAGCCTCTTTTCATTTTTAGCATTTATATCCCTCCAGGTCTCCCACTGCCCTTGCATTTCTCTTCGCCCAGCCCCCCCCCCCATGTAAAGTTGTGAAACTCTGAAACGCCTCACCAGCACAGCCCCAAAGGAAAATGCCCAGTTGCAGGGTTTGATTATTTCTGAAGAACACACCCCCCTGTTGGCTTTGTTTAAGGACCCAGTGGCTGCCCCTCCCTGGCACCAGACGGTTCCCCTTAGGCTCATCTTGTTGTGTGCCTCATGCCCACGTCCGCCCCAAAGAATTCTTTGTGAGGATTTTGTGTCATTTCTATTCTGTTCTTAAGGAAATTTGTTTCAGGGCTCACTTGGGTGAGATTAGACTTTGAACTTAAAGACTCAAGGGGTGGGGCGGGGGCTCTGGTTTTCCTAATTTTGGGAACCAGAACTCAGAAGCTTTGGAGTGTCTGGTAGTCAGAGGGGTCGCATTTCCCCTGAGAACTCGGGGTATCTCCAGGGATGTGGGGAGCAAATGTTGCCCCAGGAGGAAGGCTTCGTCCTCGGGCTATTTGGTGGCAGCAGCAGCCAGGTGAGGCTGGCCGAACTGGGGTACCGGAGCTCCGGGGGATCTGAGTATCTCATAGTCTTTCTTTCTTTCCTTTTGATCTCCACCTGCAGGTTAGAAATTCTTTCAGCTGTTAAAATATGGGAAATTCAACGTCTATCCCTGTAAACTCACTTGGGATTCCATATTAAATAGTTGAAATTTCTACACTCAAAGCACAGATTTACAAGGCCCGGCGTAGGGTCCCATGTTAGTAGAAGGCACGAGAAAGATCTGTGAGTAAACCAGTGAGTCATGATCAAGTCCCGGGAGTGACTCGGGGAGAGAATGGGAACCTGTTTGGGTCTTGATTAGACTGAAACCTTAAGAAGTGAACGAACACTGACCCAAGTTCTCAGGAGGGATGGAGTCTCCTGGGCACCAGCTGCAGACTTGAGGAGAGAATTTCAAAAGCCAACTCCGGGTCCTCAGTCCCCTGTCACCCAATTTTTAAATTTGACCATTGGGGCATTCAACAAAAAGATAAAGGGCCCCATGAAATCTTGGAGACAGCGACGGGAGAACAAGCCCAGGGCTTGCCCTGACCACAGGCCCGGCCCCTCAGAGATGATATCCAAGGGCTCCACGCCAAAGAGGGAAAAGAGTTGGAGACCTAGAGGATGTCACCATGGCAGACTGTCCCCAGCAGGGCCCATCGACACAGGGGCCGTGCCCCCTTCATAGAGAGGGGGACCCTGGGGAAGAGATTGCCTCACCTCCGGAGAGGGACAGGAGGCCATCTGCCCCATCAAGGTGCCCTGGAAGACAGATGCCTGAGGCCTCTCAAGTCCCCTTTGACCTTCGGGACGTCACCACAGAAGAGGCTCAGAGACTCTTGATGTGGCAGCCTGTGGATACTGGAGCTCAACTCTCTGCCTTCCTAATCAAACTGCGTGGCCACTGCACC